ACTCCCTGTTTTTACCACTAAAACGGGTCGGAATGGCCCCATATACCATACATGACTTCATATACGATCAACCTTCACTACCTTGAGGTCTGTTTTGCTGTTGGGCAGCTGTGAGGTCATGTGACGTCATCAAAGGTCACCAAAGGTTTTTGGCCAATAACTCCGTACAGGAACAAGATACAGACGCGTGGATGGTCTCATTGTGTTCAGCTCGTCAAGACGCATCGAATGATATACATGATGACCTCGAGGTCACGTGACCTGAGGTCAACCTTTGACCTTGACCTTGCGAGGTCAACATATATATCATTCCATGCGGATTGACAAGAGGATCACGATGATGCCCTTAGTTTGTTCCTATCTTGACTAATTCGAAAGTTATTTGAGAAAAACTCTCTCCATATCTAGCGCCGCCATTTTGACTTTTTCGACCCCTGTGACGTCATCTTTGACCTGACCTGAAAATGACCTTAGTAAAAATTGTAGATCTTGACCGTGCGTATCCGATGCCGTTTACCGTTTGTCGCTATCTTGCTTCGTTCTCGAGATCTCAGGGGGAGCCGAATCGGCCCCCCCCCCCCGCCAGTTTCTTGTCCCGGCGGAGCCCGCCAGGAATAGGGTTAAGGATTCTTTACAACACAAAAAGCAATGAACTCTAACCATGCAAGAAATCGCATGCACCCGTACAATCCAGCGTTAGAACGTCATTATCATTGAATCGTCATATCGACAGCATTAGTATTAAGTATAACGGCATAACGATATATTTACTTTACAAGTAATACAAACATTGTATATTGATAGAGACAAGTAGAAAAACACGGATGACGGAACAAGTAGTGCATGGACGCGTTTCGATTATTAAATCTTCATCAGCATGACATAATCACAGAGAAAACAAGATATAGCTAGCATAGCATAGATGTAGCAAGATATAGCACTATTTGTTCCGTGTTTTTCAATACAAACATTATAAAAGAAGGCTGATGTTCATTTAACAATGTAGTAGGTATGCACGTAATAACTAATTAAACAAATTTAATTAATAGATAAAACATAAGACAAATTTTACTAACAGACATCAATAAAATACTTTTTAAAAATCGTTAAAGCCAAGCCGTACCTAACGACATGTCTCTTCCGCAGGTGGTGTTACTGGCAGCGATGCTGGCCGTCGTTGCCAGCCAGTACACCCCCAACGTCGGTCCATTCTACCGAGGACCGGGTGGTGGTGGATCCGGTGGAGGAAGTGCTACCAATTCTGGAGGCGGTGGCCGTTCGAGCTCCAGCGGAAGAAGAGGAGGGTACGGGAGCGGTGGGCAGGGTTACGGATATTCATCGGGTGGGGGTGGGGGAGGGAGAGGCGGAGGGGGAAGAAGAGGAGGCGGAGAAGGAAGAGGAGAGGGCGGAGGGGGAGGAGGATACTCCAACGGAGGAAGCCACCAAGGATCTATCGGGCGCAGAGCGGGCTATGCAAGCCACGGCGGAGGGCGTTCATTCCAAAACAGCCGAGCATCCTTCACCGGAAACCGCAACTCCTTCGTCGGTGGCGGAGGAAGGGCTTCATCGACATTCTTCAAGGGAATTCGTGACATTCCCTTTCAAGGAGGACCCGGGCCAGTGCATTCACCCTCCAATGCTATCTTCCATAGCGGAGGTAGCGCACGAGGGGCTACTGGCGGTAGAAGTGTCACAGTTTCTAGGCCACATGCAGGGCCGGGGTATGGGCGAGGAGGCGGCGGACGTGGAGGAGGACATTCGTTCGGCGGAGGCGGTGGAGGAGGAAGCGTTGGAGGTGGTGGTGGAAGTGGAAACGCCTTAGGAAGTGGCGGTAGCCATTCTTTCGGCGGCAGCGGCGGCGGCGGGAACTCTTTCAGTGGAGGTGGCGGAGGCGGTGGACAGTCTTTCGGTGGAGGTGGCGGAGGACCTTCCTTCAACAACGGCGGCGGCGGAGGAAGCGGCGGTGGACATTCCTTCAATGGAGGAGGGGGTGGCGGCGGCGGTGGCGGAAGCGGACAATCCTTCGGCGGCGGCGGCGGTGGAAGCGGCGGCGGTGGAAGCGGCGGTGCACACTCTTTTGGCGGCGGAAGCAGCGGTGGTGGAAGCACTGGCTTCAGCGCCGGGCCCAGTTTCGACTTCTCTGCCGGCGGACACCGGGCGGCGGCCGGTCCCAGTTCACGGAGAACCTACGGCAGTGCCGAGTTTGGAGGCTCTGGAGGAAGTGGAGGAGGAACGGTGTACCACTATTACAGGGAGGAGGATGACTAGTGGCGGAGCATCTGCTGCGGGGAGGATGATCGGTTACGATCCGTGTCTGCTGTAGCGAGGATGATTCGTGATATGTAATATCTTCTACAGACCGTATACGATTAGCTGATCATTCATTTTGCCCCAGGAGGGAAAAAGTTTTGATGTACGATCGCAACTGCCGTGTGTATTATGACATTGTAGCTAAAATGAATGAATATAAAATATTTAATGGCATGACACTACATAAGCAACGCTGCATTTCTGGGTCTACGAGTATTATTGCATGTAAGCGCTTTACGATGCTAGGCATATCCTTTGCTTTGAATGTCAACAACTGGATGCGATCAGCAAATCTAACATCACTATTCATTATGCAACCGAGTGGGGAGGCGTTATTGTATGAATACCATGATTACGTGGACAATGTAATGTATGTGTCTTCATAATGGCTGCGTTTTGCGGAAGCCAAAAGTTACGGTCGTTTGTACATAGTATGAGCTCTTGGAAATGTTACTTGATTGTTTGAAATATATAAGTCGTATAACTATGTAACAAGTACCTATCCTAACCCATTGAGGTCAAGCGGCAGAAGGACGGGGGTGACTGAGCTTGCTCGACTACGAGCGACTAGTGCGTTGCAATATCTTTGGGATGGCATTGCTTCGATAGTATCTACCATCCAGCTACTCAAGGGATCATCACAGCGGGGTGTGGACTATCGAGCCTGCCCTCTACCGTCGTGTAGATGGATTGACCGTCACTCAGCTTATAGGGTAGCTGTTGGGATTGTGGATGGACTGGTTCTGAGAGCAAAGAGAACCAATGGGGGCAGCTTTTAGGACGGCATAAAATATACACTGCACTGAATCGGGTTCTGAACTCTGGTAGTGCTGGCGATCGGTTTCATTATGTTTATTCGACCCACCTACTAAGATGGTATTTTGCGGAGAAGTTGTGGACGTGCACGATACCCATACCACACAGCCCCTATTTGGCCACTCTGCCACCAATCACTAAATAGTTACTCTTGCTTCAAGATAAAATAGACAAATTCGTAGGCAGCTTGTGTGGAAAACACGTTCAGTTTGCGTGATTATTCGCTTTTATGTACTTTGCATTCTACAATCTCTCGGAGCAGACTTTACTTGCCTTTCATTGCAATGGTTCGCCACAGGTGGCGCTACAAACACTGACCTCGGTAGGTGACGCTACTGCCAGCCGAAATGTTACATAGAACTAGGACCGACCACGATATCTTGGATGACCACGGACGTCTGAGCTCATAGATTACACTTTAAAAGGCTTCGGAATAGAGACTGTGGGTGATGGATCATTTAGTACAACCATAAGTACAGCTCTGAGCAATACGAAAAGCAATTCAGCCGATTTTTTTTTATTTCTAGCTAAAGCTTCTGCGTCAAGTAACTAGCCAGAGGTCGGACATCTAAGCAAATGATGCTATCCACCTTAAAGTTTTGCTGCGGTAACTAGTAGTATACAATGAGGCTAAGCTTGAAGAGCAATATATTATAAGATTAAAAATAAAAGACAGCCAGTGCCTACGTGACGTTGGAAGTAGGCCTGCGTGATACCTAACGTCAATCATGAGTGTTGGGTTCATGTTTCGCAGAACAACTACATGCTGCATTCTAAATCAATGCGTTTACCCCTTTCCCACGCCTCGTTTAGTAACCAACAGTTCATATTTCTCTTTGTTATGTGATTTCGTGATTCATAATCCATAAAGGAGTTCGAGGATTTGAGATCTCCCAACCAGCCGCTGTTAAATTAGGTATCACGGAAGTTCTGGAAAAAATAGGCAACCCTCACTATTTGTTTGGCAATCGCTGCAAGATGGCGTAGAGTTCTAGAAAACATGAATATAATGTGCAGAGTGCTTTCATTCGCAGAAGCTTGACCCGAAAATCTTGAACACATGCTGGTTTCTGGACTTTGGTTATATGTTTTCACGGGAAGGAGCAAAATTTGTGAAGTCACTTATGCATAGCTCAGATACTTCATCCAATACTTCTGACATTTATTTCTATGTAAACCTGCTTCAAGTGATCTATTTAAGCTTGTTAGTGTAGAATAAATTATAATATAGATCACTCCTAGCATTTTTTTTTCACGAAGGGATTAGAGCTATGAAAATATTTATAGCGAACATGCATTACCAAAGCATGTTCTGCTGATTGACAACAAGATATGTGTTCTATCTTGGAACGAAGGAGGATAAACCCCGTTTTCCATGCTGATATCAATGAGGTAATTTCAGGAAACATTCGTGACCTAGGCTGCCAAGTTTCCGGGGGAGGACTTGGAATCGAATCTCGGCGCCGCCACATATCCTTCGAGCCTTTTAATCAGGTGAGAAGAGGTCATAAGAGAAGAGGTCACATGTTTGCTGGAATATTGAAGAAAAAGAGGAAGCTCTCTTGCATTCAAACAATATATGACCGATAACGGGAAGGAAATAATATCAAAAATGAAAGCATCAGCATCATGAATACTTTCAATTGCAGGAGAAACCCGTTCATAAATCGCAAGAATGCTTGTTCTAGGTCTTTTAAAACCCCACCTTATCTCAGGCACTGGGATATAAGTGGGAGTCAGCCTCGGCCCTCCACCAACTCTCCCTGACCAGCGTCCAGCCACTCCCCACCCTCCCTCCTCCGCTGTGCGCGCCTCTGCCGGCCGGCTAGTGCCGTCTCGGCATTTCGCCCCAGGCACTGAACGGCGGCCATTTTGCGTCGCTCACCTGCCGCGCACCTGTTGCTGCCAGGCTCCTCGCCGGCGCCGCTGCCAGTCTGAGACCTACCCCGCCGCCGAGCGGAGCTGCTGCCGCTGCCGACGACGCTACCGGCACCTGAGTGACCGCTTGTCGGTCAGTGACTGTTTGACCCCTCATCAAGGTCAAGATGCCTTGCTCGGCAGTGACCCTTTCGCTGGCGACTGTCGCCGGTGTGGTGGCTGTGGCTCTCCTCGGTATTGCTTTTGGCACCGACAACTGGGTATACATCCGAGTGGACCGCGATGCTATACAGGTGAGCCTACTGCGCATGCGCACCTGCTGAGGAATGCGCCGAGGGGAGTTTGGGGAGGGAGGGAGGGAGGGGCGCGAAGGGCAGAGGGGACGTTGGGGAGAGTGCAGGGGAGGGTGGGACGTGATGTGTGGGCCCGTCGCGGCGAGCACGGATAGTGGAGGGAGGGAGAGAGAGAGCACGGACACGGGTAGGGGAGAGGAGGGGGAAGGAGGGGGAGACGTGAGGGGTGCCGGTAGGGTGTTTGACCATTGTATGCAAATCTGTACGGCGCGGCTAGTCCTGCTGGCTATGGATAACACCTGCCAAAGATAAGTTACGAACAGAAACGTTGACCGTGGGCTGGTGAACTTCAATGGCATCATTCAATTCAATGGCCATTTAAGACGACTAACGAAATACGCCTATTTTATCAGTTATTAGGCATAAGAAGAGCTATAGCTCTTCTTATGCAAGCTATAGCATAAGAAGGCTATAGCTTGGTTTTGTATTCGAAGCTGAAAAAAGTATTATAAATGGAAAACACTCCCAAGTGTTCAGCAATCACCGTTCCGAAACACCTAGCTTGCTGCCTGAACAAAAGTATCTTTGCTAATTTAAGAGTTGAGATCCTGCTAACTGAGAGCTGATATAAGCAGTTCGTTTTTAGGTCATAGTGAACCGTACCATAGTGGCTTTATAATGCTTCAACTTTTCATAAAAGCCCCGAAGTTCGACGTAAAACACCACCACACGCTCAGCTTTCTACCTGGCGGCATCAGACAGCGTCCTCAAAACCTGCCCGTCCGCACCCCTCCCGCCCGCCGGGGCAGACGTGTGTTTTTCCTGCCGTTCCGAGAAGGGTCGTCCCTCCCCTCCCCTCCCCCTCCTACCCCCAGGGTCACGACTGTTTGTAACTCCAGTCAGCCGAGAAATTGGTAGGGAAACCCTCGAGGGTAGAGATGGCCGTCCGCGCGGGCTGGTGTTAGCGGCCTATGCGCTGACGCAGTCTCTGGTGTTAGTGGCCTAAGCGCTCATCCTTGCGTTGCAGTCTCCATTGACAGAAGGTCGCATCTGCTGCAAAAGCAGCATGATGGCATTGTTTAGAAGAAATATTTGACGAACAACAGTATTCATATTCCACAGAGATATATATTGAATGAATCGGGTTTTTCTTCTTTTCCTTTCGAAGACGGCTAATAAAACACCCAGAGTGAAAGACAATCAAGTCCAAGTAGCGCTGTACCCGCTTCAAGTGGGCACCCAGCCAGGCCTTGCCGCTTCGCTGGGCTGCCCATTCTCATGCTCCGTTTTCCGTCTATGGAGACCGCACGAGCTTATGGGAATGGGCACGGTTGGCCATCATATCAACACGACCGCCACCAACCACGACCGAAAAACAGGGCGGCAGCTCCCGCAGGTGATTTGGCGTGTTGCCAAGTATTGTCACAGTTGAATGAGGGTCGGGAGACGGGTTGATAGGTAAAAGTAGGAAACGGGGTGTTGCAAGGAAATGGTGGGGTGGAGGAAGAGAGAAAGAGAGAGCGAGAGAGAGAGAGTGTGAGAGAGAGAGAGAGAGAGAGAGAGAGAGAGAGAGAGAGAGAGAGAGAGAGAGAGAGAGAGAGAGAGAGAGAAGAGAGAGAGATGCATGAACTTAACGTTTCGCTTATCTTTATAAAAACATCTCGAGTATCATACTTTGAAAGAGTTATGCACAACTTCCATCATGATAAATACCCCTTCAGTCTTGATAAAAATCATGGCGTGCCTGTCCGCACAATGGCTTCTGCTCGGCTGAGGTCAGTCCCATTAGCCCCTTCATACCCGGACGCTCCCCATGACAAAGCCTATTGTCTTGAGTCACCCGACTCTATGCAAAAAGACCCGGAGTCGCCCGTGGCCGGTCGATGTGCGCGCAGTTTTCTCTGGTGACGCTCCGAAAGCGGAACAGATTGCCTGTAATAAGCGGTGGAGGCGCTGGCTCTACTCCCACCATTGCCGCCACCGCCGCCGCCGCCGCCGCCATCATCCTTGAAGCCTCCCACGGCTATACCGAATCCAGCACAAGGTGCCATCATAGTCAAACCGGCACCCCATACTAGCTACACGAGTCTGCGATAAGTATTCACCCCGAGGCTGAGAACATAAACCGGCCGTCCAGCAAACCTGCTGCCCTAGTATTACTTGAGTCGCGGCCGCGGCGGCGGCGGCGGCGGCGGCGGCTGAGGTAGTGGTAACGTGTCCTATTTCCCTCCCCACCTCCCCTCCCCTGCCCCGGTGGGGGCAGGTAGCGTCGCGTGGCGGTGGGAGGGGAGGGGAGGGGGTCGGTCAGTGACTTGAGGAGCGAGTGGTCAGCCGGGCACGCAGCGACTGAGACTGGTCATACACCGAAACGATGCAGATAGATGGGAGGTCGGTCACGGGAACTGGTATGCTGGTGGAGTGATGAACGTGTGATGGATCTTATCACATGAGAGTGATAACTCGGTTCGGAATTTCGTGAACTGATTGAAGTTGAGCTATTTTGAGAATCTTATCTAGATTTTCACGGATGGAGAAGCAGAAAATTAATGCTTCAAACACCTACCCAAAAAGACAAATGAACAATTTTTCATCGATAACTGCTGGAATTTCACTTATCAAAATTTAAAATCATTCAATTTGTGAATAGATACAATAAAGAATAATCAGGCCCAATAGACAACGTGATAGATCACTGTCTCACTACTTAGGTCTAGCATTTGCTTACCTATGTGTCATTCCTATCCCATCTCATCACAACGCCAAGAATCTCAACCTAATTAGCCCCTAACTTCCAGCCTAGCCATCACGCGCAACAAAAGCTCGTGATTTCTGCTTCACCACCCCCTCGTGCGCCTCAGTTCAGTAGCTTTCTACGCCCTGACTCTGAACTCACGCGTCCCCGGCTCACGACACTCCGAGAGCACGCCACCATTAGGTTTAACCACGGAAGGATCGTTCAGCTATGACCATTGCGGTACGCCGAGAGCCGAGGGAAAGTGTCCCGCGGGACCGACCGATCACGGCTGCTCTGATCTGGCTCGCTTTCACCTCCCGCTCTCTTGGCGCTACGCTGATATGAGAGCTGATGGTACTGGAATCCAGTCTGTGAGAGAATTTGAAGCTAGAAACATGTTACGTGATGGTAGTTTACTTGCCCTGGTTGAAAATTGGAGGGGTCGCGATAGCCATGTTTGTAGAATGCAGAATATTTTGAACCTGCTGACTCAACGAAATACGTAGAGCCTACATATTTCGTAGAACCAGCAAACATCACCAAGATGATTGGGCATAGTTCCGCGATGGAATTCGCTGATATTCGCACGCAGCGCTAACAATGCACTCAGTTGAACACAATTTCTTCCTTACATCATCACTTTTGGTTCAGTAGGTACAGGTTAGGCTTCACTGCACAATGTTTGGTATTTGGTCACGTATGACCTTGTTTTTAATGCGTATGCTGATCACAGTTGATAAGCAGACTTATTCTGTGTCACCGTGATTAGACACACAACTTTTGAAAACACTCAAACATCGCACAATGTCAAATGTGAGTGCCTCGTTAGAGATTTTTCGGCTTTCAACGTCTCATTCTCAGCTAACTAGCCTCTAATTACGCCTAACCCCCATGCACGCGTGACCTCACGTCTGCCCATCACCCTCCACTGAGTATGTCTGAAGAATAGGGCGCAGTTCACGGCCAATGGCGGCCGTTCAGGCGGGCCAGAGGTCACGACCCCTCCCCCGCCCCAATGGGGAGGCGCCCGCATCCAGCTCGGCGGGGAGGGGGAGGGTGGGGGTGGGGGTGGGGGTGGGGGGCTTGCAGACGTCGAATGTAGCAGAGAACCGTGATAATACGAACAGCGGAGATCGTGACAGGGGTCATGGCAAGAGGTCGGTATGAGGTTAACGTGAGAGGTCACAGGGGGGAGGGGGTGAAGAGACCTAGCGTAGTCACAAGGAGTTTTAGCGATGAGAGATTGTTACCTGAGATAAGTAAGTATAGTGTGACTTCGTCACTCATGATTAATGATCATACTACATCCTCGTAGAAAACAAAGTTGCACGCTGGCTCAAGAAGCTATGCAGCAGAAGCCATGTGGACGTAATGTAAGCACAGATGATGCTTCTAGCTGAGGAAGAGCAAAATAAAAATCCAGCCTGCAATGTATGGAAAATCGAGTTCAAAGCCAAAACAGGGCGGAGGTGGGTGGTTTATGAATCTGAGAAGCATTTTCCTTTCATTGATTGTTTGGAAAACAGAATACAGTCTATTCCACGGTAACTCAGCTCTAACATCATAAAACGTCCGCTCACACGTCCCACCCATTCCGTGTCTGTCGCTCATCTCAGCCGCTCATCCCTCGACACACCCGAGCGGGTTAGTTCCTCAGCCCAGACCATTCCTCCTCCATCCCGTGGGAGCAGTCGCCACAAAAAGGCCATCAATTCTATCCCAGCGATCGGACGAATGCGTCTCCGGAACGCCAGCGCAGCGCGTCGGATGGCCACTCGCCGCGCGGTCCCTCTGCCTCAGGCGAGGTCATCGACTTTAGCCAGGTATCAGCTGACTGCCCTCAGGGCGGGTGACGTCACAGCTCAGGCTCGCGCTCGACCAACCATGCGGGCCGGCCGGACGAGAGTCGAGAGAAGCTTGAGGTTTCCCTCGTGTAGGGATGGTAGGGAATGAATCTAAAGATGAAAGAATGCTTGAGTGGTGACTGGGCTGCGTAAGTAATTAGAACAATGGTGCCTTTGGCCTTGATTTCCGGTTGGGTGGCGAAGTTCAATGATGGATCGGCCTTGTAATGCTCTAGTTATTCAAAGCCGCTGCGGTGGGTAGAATTGTCGTGACCTGTAACATCTCTGTAGTATTTAACCTCAGTTGAAGGTTGTTCCTGCTCTCAAGTAGAGCTAACCACGCTCTAAAGTGGCATATCCGCACGACCATGCATTCAAGTACCAACCATAAAACCATTGAATGAATTTTCATTGCACCACATGCCTATACCGGGCGTCCGAAATCCTTTCCCTCATACCCCAGCAGCCCACAGCCGGCAGACTCTCCTCCTCTTTCTTCTCTCTCTCTCTCTCTCTCTCTCTCTCTCTCTCTCTCTCTCTCTCTCTCTCTCTCTCTCTCTCTCTCTCTCTCTCTCTCTCTCTCTCTCTCTCTCTCTCTCTCTCTCTCTCTCTCTCTATCCCCCTCTCGTCTTTCCCTTCTCTCCCTCTGTCTCCCTCTCTCTCTCTCTCATCTCTCTCTCTCTCTCTCTCTCTCTCTCTCTCTCTGTCCCTCTCTCTCTCTCGGCAGCATCCGTCAGTTCTGTCGACTGCAGCTCAGTATGGTAATGAACCATTACCAACCGTTCGCCACCCCTCTCTCTAGGCAGAGTAACGGTGTAGGCCAGCGCGTGCCGACCTCGGCTGGACGTAGGCTAGGCACGTCCTGACCCGACTTTTGGTTAGGGGTTGGTGCCTGGTGGGATTGGCCCGGCCAGGGTAGGGTGTGAAGGGTGAGACACGTTTGAGACATAAGCCTTACTGTGGTCCTTACTGTGGTCCTGCATAACTGCATCATAGCTAACTACATACTTACTAAGCTACTAAGCGCACGTGCGCAGTCGCCTGCCTGTGATAGTCGACGCCGCGTTGGAGAGCGCCTGTGGTAGTCACTGCGCGCTGGTCACGGTGAATGGCGCCATGAATGAGCACCGGAAGGGACGGACGTGCTATTTGGTGGCCCAACGGACCCGGGCCAGCACGGGGAATGATGCGTGACCGCGAACCAGCGGTTCCCAGCAGAGGAGTCATGATCGTGACCGAACGCTTACGAGCAGCTGACACTCTGCTATTAAACCTGAAGAATACACTGCTTAGAGGTGTCATCACTACAAGCTACAAGCTTCAAATGATACAAGCTTGGCGAACTACATGTTCGCTAGTGCATGTTTTACACCGATCGTAGACATTAACTAGGTGCTGCGGGACCCGGGATTGGTTGAAGGCGAACATCGGTAGTTGTTGTTACTTGGTGGAATTCCCTGCAATTAAAATGCCTGGGAATTATAAACATAAGCTGTTGTAAAGTGTTCGTCAAGGAGATTTGGATTATGTGCGGGGCTTACGTGTAAGGTGTGCTATGATAATGAACTCGAGAACAATTAAAAATAAGCAGTAGTTTTAGGCAAGGAATCCTCAGGGACAGTGTCATACAGCCCATAATTGTCAGCGAAAAAAAATCAACCCAACCAGCGACGAAGCGACTCGATCAAATTTCAGGCTTCGGTTTTCCCCGTTTTGAAAATATATCAGCTGACCTGCCCCTGACCTGCCTGACCTGACGTGACCTGACCTCTGTTCCAGGCGGACATGGCCAGTGGCGTCGGCTCGCTGTCTCCGGCCGACCAGGAGCGGTTCGAGACAGAGGCTATCTACCGGTCCCGGACACAGGGACTGTTCCGCACCTGTTTCCCCGAGGGACGACCCAAAGGAGGTGAGTTTGACTTTGTCTGCTGGAGTCTGGGGTAATCAAGAGTTTTCGTGGTAATTTATGTGTCCGTTTTTGGCAGCATTAGATACAAAGTAAGACAACTTCATTAAAAAAGACTGACGTCCCAGTCTCGGCTCCATTTAGGGCAATAACACACCAGTGACCACATGTAGGAAAATGATGGACACATACAAGCTTGGAGCGCTATTAGAAAGTATTTTGGTCGGAAAGCTATCTGTATCAAGAGAGAATCTGCGCGAATTAAATTAAAGTTGATTTATCTCAATTCACATTCACAATCTCTTAAAACGTTCAGCAGATGGCAGTGCATTAAATCTGGAAATCTCAAGGTTCGAGACGATAGGAATAGCTACATTCAGCAGCTGTTACGAGGTGGAGAAAGTCACAAACCTGCACTAAAGGCCATGAATGATATGGAACTGAGATGCCAGGCTACCGTGTGCTGGAGACCGGAGATTACGCGAGATACCTGGGCATTGTTCGGGTCTGAATAGCTGATAGAACAGGTGCGTGATAGATGGCTCAAGATCATCAGAAACCTTCAGAGGCCATGTTTTGTCTGCGGGGAATGTCCAAACTCTTCAAACCCACTTCAGGTAGTTGATGGATATGGTTGACGCAATCAAATGTATTTCATGCGCTTCAGTAGTTTTAGAAGGTGAGCTATGTTTCGCAACATAGCTCTACATATGTGAATGATTAGGATAAACTGAGAGATAAAGTAAGCAGTTTCCACTGCTCTATGCTGCACTCCTTGCTATATGCTTAGCTTACAGGTGGTTGTAACCCTTGACGCCTATAACTGCTCTGCTTTCGGAAGTTCATTACCAAGTCCCAACAGTGATAACTCCTTCTTGACTGTGTTTTTACATCTCACTTGAGCCGCCCAATCAGCATTGGGCCGCCTAGCCAGTGGTAAACAAACTCATCACATTGATTGGTTGGTTACTGTTAACCGCAATACGTCAGACTTGTGATTAGCTTTCAGGCGGAACACCCGCGCGCAGGGACACTGGACAGACCAATTACTTCTCTCTCTCTCTCTCTCTCTCTCTCTCTCTCTCTCTCTCTCTCTCTCTCTCTCTCTCTCTCTCTCTCTCTCTCTCCCTCTCTCTCCCTCTCTCTCTCCCTCTCTTTCAATCAGTTTATCTTTTGAGACAGGCTGCTGATTTTTTAGACGAGCTTCTTTGACGTGATAAAGAAAATTTTGTCAAATTCCTGAACATTTTTATTACAATTTCCGGGCATAAGCAATCAAACCCTGAGACGAAGAACTTAAAATGATGCATGTTTACTTTCTTCGTGTCATTGTATGACAACAGTGCCACAAGCACCAACATCAGCCGACTCGTTATTTAGTATTTACACACAAACTTTCACAAGCTTCCTGCTACACACCACACCATCTAAAACGACTCACGACGGCGTCGTTTTCTTCTGAACCTGGAGATCGTTACTGACGAGCGCAGCTGTCATACGGCATGTGGGAACGGGCACAGCTCTGGGTGCGGCGTAACGCTCCGATGATCGGAAGAGAGTGGAAAATTGACGATTTCAGGAGCCGCGAGCGGCACACCGTCACGTTAGTGACACCCGGGAAAGATGGCCCATACGCAGTGACGGGAACAGTGTTGTAACATGGTGAACATGCCATATCGAATATGACATGTCGAGGAGTTGTCGACCAGGGGATTACTGCCGTCCAAAGGCAAAACCGCATATGTCGGGTCAGGTCATGACCCGACATATGCGTTTTTGCCTTTGGACGGCAGATTATTGAAATCGATAAGAGTTTTGTTCATTTTCCTGATATCGAGGACCTCAAGGTAAAAGAAAGATGGTGAAAAGTACGTATCTTTAAGTTTCTTCCATTTGTCAAATTACATTTTTACAATTTGCCTTTACTTGTATTGATTATTTTTCTCAACAGTATCACGGCACCTTAGTTCACAAACATTTAAGGAAATTGAAACGGCATGTAAACCAAATGTAACCTAATAAGACACTTTCATTCCCGCCCCGCAAATGATCGTAAAATCGGTCAGTTTCCCAGCTTTCGCTGTACAATTTCTAATGAAATTAAAAGTCTATCGTATCCACATTCTCACATAACCCGATTATGACTGCAATCATCATGTAATTAAATCGGGATGTTCAATATCAACATGGGAACAAGATTCTCGCACGAACATTTCTTCTTATTTTGAGACACATACTTCTATAGAGAAGTGTGTTCTTGAGATATACATACATAGATCCGACAACAAAAACTGTATATCAAGGCTACCATATAATCAGTAGCAGTCAAAATCCTAGAAAGGCAAAGGAATCATGGTAACAGCAAAAGCATACTTTGTCAACAATTAAGCAACTGCCGTACCAACATATATTTCGTTCCCGGAGTTCTAAATTGTAAAGTACTGAAGCGTGAGCCGTTGTCACGATTCCGTTGCAAAAAGCTTGCAGGTGCACCTGTGCCAAGGAGAATCTAAGCAATGCTAACATGATAGCAGCAACATTCCTGTTCTGTTTCCTTGTTTATAGACGCTGTGTTCTGCGCTTTGTTACACGTTTGTTTCGGCCTTTGACCACAGGAAAATAATCGGAAAAGTAACGGGCCGAGAGCTGTGGACAGGTGTTGCAGGTCTTGAGCTGTAGTTTTATTAAACGAAGAACGCTGAAGTTGAAAAAGGATGAGCGAAATTACTAACCTTTACACGGTTGATGTCCCAAAGGCATCATATAAACAAATGTTGTCTGTTTTTGTTTTCTGTTGACTGCAGAGTAGAGGTGCCAAAAGATGAAAATTTTGGGAACCAGACTCGAACCTGACCCGTCTGGACATTTCTGGAACCAGTCAGACGCGGTCTAAGTTGGAATCGGAACCAGTCGGACCCGTTCCCAAACGTCAATTAATACAAACTATTTGTAGGTATCGTTAGTTGAATCATGTAAAAGTTAAAACAACCTTTTTCTCACTGGGAATACTTATGAGCTAGTGTGCTAAGAAATATACATCAGCAAATGTTTTCTTTCCATTCACTCTATATTTTGCAATCATGTGTAGTGGGCAAGATGTATAGTTTATGGTAGGACCCGGTTGGACCCGTCATAAAATTTCCAGGAACCGGTCTGGACCCATATGGTTCCAGACTGGTTCTTTGGACCGGGTCCTCGGGTCCACATTTTGCCACCTCTACTGCAGAGTGTCCACATTGTTGGGTGTGCTTTGAATATAAGCATTTTCATCCCCCAACCACCTTCTATGTCAGTCGCGGACCGCGGTAGCATCGCGCGCTGAGTCGCCACCTCCCCTCCCTCGCCTCACGTCGGCCCTGCCGGAGCTGGTAGCGACTGGTACGAGTGACGTCACTTCTCAGAAGCGCCCCAAGCAGCCAATCAGCGTCCAGCTGGGCGTAGGCGTGGCGGCGGTCACCGCCGCCAAGGCTTTGCCGGGCTACAGAGGGTTCGGAAGGATAATGAGAATGAGCGGACGCCGGACGGTCATTTCTGCAGAGGGATGGCTTATGAGTGATGCTGAAATGGTGGTTGTAGCAGAAGGCAAGGTCTGGTGCTAGCTTAATTGCACCCGTATTATGACATTTGCTTAACTACTTGGTTGTTTGCGGAAATGGGGTTGCAACACCTGTTCTTTACGCCCACAGAAATGCATGCATTAAGCCACGGATGTTTTAAAATTTGATTTCAAATCGACTGAATCGGCATAAGTTTAATGCATGCTCTAAATCCAACAACGAACTGTGCAGTGTGCACTATCTGATGTCCCTTATGCAGTATGCACTCGACACTGCTAAAGCACTGCTCATATCCGACATTACTAAAAATAGGTAAGCGATTCTACCGTCGATTCCATCTCTCATGAAAATGACGTACGTACACCGCGGCCTCGCCAGCTCAGCTCTGCACCGTTCCTGACTGGGACGTCCCACATACTATGCCTCTAAGTAGTTCTGAATCACCCGTGCCGGATTCTCCCGTCCCGTCACCCTCCGGTACAGTGGGAGAGAGCCGGGACAGTGTTCTGAATCACCAGGGGTGGTTGCTAGCTAGGACTAACTCAGATCAACGCAGTAAACTCTCCTAAAGTGATCGGGTTTTAATCCAAAGTTAGGTGGACTGGATTCTAAGTTGGCTTAGGTGGCGTCTAATCATCATTCCAATAAGAGAATCTGCGTCCTTGGTTGCATAGAAAATTTCTGAGTTGCTCTGCTTGAAGTTCTGGGCTGGTCGGGCGAGGTTTGAGCTAACCATGTATGTCTGTTTCCGTTTCGAATGACATGACCACTGGAAAGAGCCCTCGGGCTTATTGGGGTTAAGAGTTTCCCCATGATATTATAGGCTGACTGATCGGGATTTTCCAAGGGACGACTGCTTCTCCGTACGTTTGTGTGGTAGAGGATTCTAGAGGAGCCCTTTGGACACAATGTCATCGTGTTGCAACCGTGAACTAAAGCGTCGTTTCTAAGTAAAGCCACCACGCAATGGTCCTGTCCCTGTTCTTGGCGACTCTTTATCTTCAAACAACTCATCTAGCATTTCGGCGGCTTCTTTCTTATATGTTAAATTTTATGAGCCCGCCCGTATCACTATGTGCGTAACAATGCGATGCTCAATCCTGCATAGCTGGCGGACCACAAGCCTCTGAGCCCTCTGAGCTCAAGACAGACAATGCAGCGAATGGTTTATGCGAACTGCAGGCCTTCAAGGACATCGCCTACACAGGGGCTTGGGAGTGTCCCGCGTATTGCACGTGCTAGGCCAGGGGCACAATCGGGTCGACCAGCGAACCACCTGTGATCTATGCCAAGGACATTCGCCTGCATTTGAGTGCAAGTCTGCGTGGATGGGCAGAACTGGAGAGAAGTCAGGAAAATATTAGGAAAGATGAGATGTCGGCGTGTCGTTGTGTAGTTCGGAGTGAGGAGTTGAAGGTCAGACGGTCACTGACCCCAGGAGCGAAGAGAAAGAGTAGAGGGTGGGAAAGGAAGCGCAGAGGTAGAACAGGATGTGCCACACCTCTGACGTTGATTCCTTAGATGACTTCAGGCATAAACTCATAAACGTTATAACAAGCGAAACGTTACGAGATAAATCTACGCTAGCTAAGCTAAGCGTTAATATTGATTTTGACAATCATGCACTGCACTTAGGTACAAAGTTTTAAAATCATTTCGTATCTTAGCGTAGTGGCTTAAACGTTTGTGAGCTCTGAACGCGCGCGTGATAAAGGCATTAATATTGATGGCACGGTATAGGCCGTCCAAACCTGTACTCCATTTTTCTGTAAGGCCGGTCCAGTTCCGGTTTGTTAAGCGAAAGCTGCACTCAAATCCTGCAACGGGTCTCGCGGCTCGGCTTTGCTCGGTCACGTCAGACAGTGTTCCAAAGCCGTAGCCGCCGCTGTGACCCACATTCTGCCTTGGCGGCTACATGCCTTAATGTGGCGTGTTCAGCGGTCAGCTGATGGCTGCTTGTGGACAGTGGCTCACGGACCAGACGGCCAATCAACGTGCCATGGCCGTCCTATCGAAATGGGATCGATTTCCCTCGAAATCAACATACCGCTACAGAAACACAAAGAGCGCAAAACAAACATGAGCACAAGCAGTATGTACGAAGCTTCCGTATAAGTAGATGCATACTTCATATTTTAGGTGTGCGCACAATTTCCAAACTTTGTATCGGTCATCGGGCGACGCATCTTACTTCCGTGCGTTGAAACACGACGCACGTTCAAGTATCGATTCCATGTAAGCAGCAATCAAATTATGAGATGAATTCATCATCGTCAAGAAACTTTCACAGTTCAGTTATCCATCATTGAGGTCATTTATAAGTTGCGTAGATAAGACGGTATATCTAATCATGCTGTCATTCCGATTGATTAATTTATTGTCGGTTTATGCCCGCGATTATTCATCCGAAGACTCTCCGTATTAGTGGGCTTATGAGAAAGCAAGACTCACCCCTGGGTTTAAGTCAACATCGATTTTGTTTTTGGCTGCTTTATTCAATGAGAATACCGATGGTGTATTGTTTTGATTGATGAGTAAGCGTTAGACAGCCAGCATGTTTACCGATATATGGACTGACGTTATTATTTTCTGTTTCCAGTGGACGTCTACCTGAGTCCCGTGGAGACCTACTGCACAAATATCGACTACTACATCCCTGACGAGGACAATCTCACCAAGACCTTCTCCGAGGAGCTGATGGCACGGCTGCGTAAGTCTCTGCCCCGGCAAACGTTTACTCACGAAGCTGTCACCGCTTTTCAATATTAAAGGAAACAAACGTTTAATTCACACTCGAAGTTTTTTTATTCTAACGGCGATTAGATAAAGCGTGTGGATGAATGGATGCACTAGTTTGAAATTTTCATGGACTATTTTCACAAAAATAACCAATCAAAAAGTGAATTATGCCAGCCTTTTCCGGTCTAACAATGCTTTTACATCTCTTTCATCTCCTATCTTCCGTGCTACGTGCTTGCCGTTTTACATCGATTCCGAGTTCCGACACCGATTGCCCACAATTTTCCCGTCTAATCTCTTCATTCTAACCGCGACTACCCACACCCATTTCAGACATGGCCCGCTCGATGATTGCTCTCTTCATTGTGGCATTCTTCTTCGTGTTCGTCGCCTTCTGGACTGGAGTGGTTGGATGCTGGCGCCGCTCGGCGGCCAACGTTGGAACTACCGCCGCACTTATGCTCTTTGCATGTGAGTTCATTAAATTTACATATGCATTTGTTGCATAGTTACCATAGTAATCGTTCTATTGTCTCGTAGAAGTTTTCTTCATTTGTAGATGACGAGATGCATATGCTCTGGTATGTTGATATCAATGATTGAATTTAGATCTGATAATAAATTAAAAAAGGTCCTGTAAAACTAAAATTACTAAAAACAGTCTGTATCAACGAGAAATTTGAATGCAGACGGCCTTGAATAGTTTAAGGGTCTATAAATGCATGTAAATGCAATACCGATGTACGCCTCGGATTACCAATCATGCATTGAACGAGCTATCATCGTGTGGCTTTTTGACCGGTGACTTGACTCCGCGTTCTGCATTCATCCAGGCCTGTTCTCGGCGGGCTCGATGGGTCTGTGGCACGGAGTGCAGTACTTTGAGCAGAAGAAACTGAACGAGGCTCCCTATTACCGCAGCTGGCCCCCGGTAAGGAGTACAGACCACCCGTTTCCTCACTGACCTGCGTTCTAGCTCTACCAATTGCCGTTCAAGTTGCTTGAGTTTAGCAGCAGCCAGCAGTGTTAAAATCAGATATCAATGTAAGGTCATATGCTGAAATTGGGGCACAATAGCCATTCTATACTCGTATACGTTGTTGATATTCTCGCCATTAATCATTGAGGCTGAAGTATTTAATGATAAATTGTTACATATTGGCTATTGGCTATCCGTCTGCTGACATAATATGGGCACGGCTATAATTGCAGTATGAGTTTGATTTTAAATAAATTAAACTAAAATCCTTTAGTGAGTAGATGTTTTGTTATAAATCACGTAACATTGAATTTCTTAATGAGTACGAGACAGTTAAAATATGTTGGTTCCCCACTGTTTGCTGTAATGATTTTGTACGTGAGTCATTGTCCCTACCGTTCACCTCACAATGATCCTATTTCGTTCGAAGCGAGCTGATCTCTTATCTCTTGAGCATGCCTTGTATCTGAACTTTTTGAGCATGTTCTAGCTCAATATAGGTATGGTGTGCACATGAGAAGTGTCTTATCCATTGCCCATTGCGACAGCAAGAAGGCAGTGTCATTTAGTGAGATAATTAAATTTCATTAAAAATGCGTCGCATCTGTAGGACTAAACTTGCAGGTATAAGGAAAATGTTTAAAAACAAATAATATTAAGCTTATGTTTAATCGAAAAAAATTGTTTGAACGGGACAATGCGGGATCATTACAAAGCAAATTCATACATAGTGTGATTGTGTGATAAAAATGGTGTGTTCAACATCGGTCTTCCGGGTATTCTATCCCATATATTACTCTCTTCCACGATATCTTTCAGCGTAGCTTCTTGCAACCGAATGGGGTACCTAGTTTTTTTTTGTAACCGACATGAGCCCGACTTTACCTTTCCCCTATTTTCCCCGCCTTCTAGCTGGCCAAAAAGCACACCCACGCTGACTACGACTGGAGTTTTTACGTGGCGTGGACCGGAGTGGGCGCGTGCTTCTTCAGTTTTCTCTTCTTTGTTATCGCCTCAATTATTCTACGCAGGGAGAAGGACAAGAGGGCAATGCAGGCCCAATACGTCATGTCAGGTAATGGCCGATCACGGGCCATGACAACGCATGTCAAACTCGGTGATTGGTTGTTTGAAACCGCTCTTTGGGCTCTTATTGGTGGATGGAACAAGGCATGAACGGTGGTCGGGTAATGTCATTCCGCCTCACAACTTACCTGTCAGGCTGTCCCCACACTCCACAGGCATTTGTCAAATGCTCTTGACGCAATTTCAGCACGTCCGATGTAAACTAAACCAGCACTTTAACCTTTACACACGTCCTCTCGTCCCGCAACTACTCCACAGAAGACCGCTAACATTTCATTGGCCAGCCGCGTGACCCACAACCGTGTCACGGGTCCGTCAGCCAATGAGCGTCCCGCTAACAGCCGGGTCGCCTTTCAGCTGTTGCAGAGCCACACTATCGCGGTGTTTGATTGGTCGTACTTTATCGCCTGGGTGGGCGTCGGCTGGGTGCTGGTTTCGGCTCTGCTGTTCGTTGGAGCCTCCGTCTGTATCAAGAAGGAGAGCTACAACGAGAAGCGCAGAAACCTGCCCTACATCATGCCTGGTATGTCAGCAAACGTCAGCGGCGAGAACAGCTACAGAGGAGGGCGAAAACCAAGGCGCGAAAAAATAACATATGACTACATTTAACGAATTTGGGTACCAATATAACTGCAGTAAATCTTGAAATTAAGTGCACTTTTAAAATAAGCGTGACTGCATTCGGAAGATTATGATAGCTGATAGGGAAAAGAAGCGAAATAAAACGCTTACTTTGGTTCTCACATTATTAATAAACGAAAGGAAAATTTGTATGTAGGTTAGGGTGGCACTTAAAAATCAATTTTTGATTTTTGATGCGTGCGGGTGGTTTTCCGGTTCCATTCCCGTAAAAAATAAGGGAGGCAAATTTTTATGGGAAAATATTGATGTTTAGAGGTCGCGAATCAAGGTCAAAATTGAGATTTTGGTAGCATATTTCAATATCATTAAAATCGCTTCTGAGTTTCCTATTACGCTATAATCGGATGATAATAAGGCATTTCTTAGTCATTTTCATATTGTTTATTGATATTCCATGCAGCTTCGGCCACGCCAGAACGCTGGTCTATGTACTCCACTACTCCAGTTCCTCCTCTTTACTACCTAGATTATTGGCGCCTCATTGGAGGGAGGGGCATCATGGGCAACGGGCACCCAGATCACTTTGTGTGTAGCCTGGTTAGCAATTGCAGTCGATCTTCGGGTGTCAGGTTAGCGTTTTCTGTGATCTTTTCAACGACATGGAGGAAGAACTGGCGCTAATTTTTGTCTTCCATGAGTGCCAGTCCTACATCAGCGCCATACCGCGCCTGGTGAAGTCATTCACCACCCGCAGCTCCCGGACTACACGAGCTGCGGTTTGGTAGCTGCTGTCCTCCCAGTGGCCTTGGTCATTGATGATGAGCCCCGCGTCCAGGTCGTGTATCCTTGAGAGCTTTTTGAACGATGGTGTGAGGAAGCTCGCTAACGTCTCGGTCGCGAGAGCGGCGTTCATAGTGCCCACTAAGTACTTATGGGGCGGGTCCCCTCTCCTACAAGTCTATATTGCCCGTTCCATGTCTTGATTGAGCCCGAGGGTCGGGGTCTAAAAGCTCCAGAGTCACCAGCCGATCCCTCAATTACTACAGGTGACGGCCGAAGACCGGGACTGTCGTCTTCGACAGCTCCTTGTCGGGGTAGGTGCAGAACGAGTTCACGAAGGTCAGGTCCAGAGCCGGCGCAGTGGCAGTAGAGTCCCAGACCAGGCGGCGGCGGCGGCGGCGAACTTGCAGGCAACGAACAGCGCACAGCGTCTGATGACCTGGGCCTCGGCCGCCGTCAGCCGGAGCCGCTCCCTGAAGAGGAAGGCACCCACGGTACGGATGGTCTTTGCCATCCACCTAACTCAGTGGAGTACTCTGAGGCGGAGAAACGGATGCCGTGCTTGGAACTCCACCGAGAGCAGTTACGCAGAGCTCCAGAAGTTTTCGGTAGTCTTCCCGGTGCTAGGCATAGTCCAGCGATGGAAGCGATGAAAGCTGACCAGCAGCTTGTCCCACTCCGGAACGGCGTCGACGGCGAACGCCACCGGTGTGATCCTGTCAATGAAGCATGAACTCCCACCCGCCTTTGAACCTCTTAAAACAGCCGGATGTAGAGGCCGCTCGAGATTCTACGGCAGGTGGAGAAGGCCTTCTCTAGGACCAGCTCTTTTACGTGGTGCCGGCAGGCCAGCTGGAGGACGGGCCGATCCAGCTTCTGCTCGATAAGAGCTAAAGTACCGTTCACCAGCATGCTGTTCGGCGTCGTGGCGTCGAAGCAAAAGGCCGCAGTTCCGCTTCTACAGTTCCTAGCCCCCCAGCGCTGTGAGCATGGCCTCCTGTGCTTGGATGGAGGGGAGTTTGGGAACGGCGAGGAGCTTGGCCACCCTAATCCCCCCCCCCCCATCACCAGGACCTAGAATCGGTCGACGCTCCTTCTCTCGCGGTTCAGCCGGAGTCGTATCAGAAGTTCCGTGCCGCAGTTGATAACAGGTTCACGTGTTCTTCACATATTACGGTTGGGCAGTTTGGCCCGGTCGAGGCCAGTTCACTGTTGGGGAAGTCCACTCGCCCGCATGCGCTTGGGAGTGTGAGTCGACGTTTCTCTCTCATGGTCGCCATCGTCAAAGACGTTCCCTCCGTGTGCGCGCCGCAACGGCCGGGTAAGTCTGTTGCTGGCACTGGCACTATGTAGAGTCGGAAGAAGCGCCCACGGAAGAACATCCCGAAAGCACAATAAACCAGTGCAGCTCAATGCCCACTCTCGCCTCTGCTTTCCCCCGCCGGCGATAGGCTGACTCCAACTTCTTCACATTCTCTTTGACAGAAAAGGAGCATGTCTCAAGAACCGATAGAACTGTGGGGCTCGTCCTCCCTTTGGAACAGGAGAGACCATTCACTCCTCACACTTATAAGAGGATATGACCTCCACTGTGAGAAGGCACCGGTCGCAGGCCAAAAACAGGCCTGACATGGGTAAAACAGCCCAGATCAGACCTGTCTTGGCCTGACCTGGACTGGCTACGATCGACCGGAAGTGATGGGATAAGCAATTGTTATACAAATAAAGGTCAAAATACGTCGGATATGACGCTTAATGACCACATATGTCATTCCAAATAGGTTTAAAGTAGTTTCCAAAAAGTTGATTTTTTCCCCAAAACTGCCAACTTTGACCTCAATTCGCGACCCCTAAATATCAATATTTTTCAAAATCATTTTGCACACATTATTTTTTACGGGAATGGAACCAGAAAACTACCCGCACGCCTAAAAATCGGATAACATAGAATTCACCCTATTGCTAAGTGCCACCCTAATGTAGGTATGTATGTATGTATTTACGATCATGGGCGATCCACACATAAGATGAGTCGTCCAAATAACGTTGAATACTTCACGCCTCACGGATTCAGTTACACTCCGCACATCCCCAATAACGTTGCTGTTGCTAAAAATAATCATGTGTCGCTAATCTCACCGCATACCTACTATACAAATAAACCATAAACGATATTGCACAAAATAACTAACATGCATGTTCATACCTAATGTTTAAAAATGTTCATGTTTTGACAATAAAAATCACAGCTATGAGTAGAAACGGTAAGTAAGTGCATGACATTTTGCTATATGTCCTTTGCCGTTGTTTTTAGTAAATTTTTATACGGTTTGAAATTGACGTCTGTCATTGCACGGCTATCTCGCAAACGTGACGTGCGATTTTTCTTCTTGTAAATTATCGAATTTCATATGATTTCATCGTCCCTCAATCTCACAACAGTTGTTATCAGCTATCAATTAATTGTATTTCATCTTTAAAGTGCCTTTCTTATTTGCATTTTCCTATCGTAAACGATGCCGATTAACCCCTCCCCGTGCTCCCGGTAACAAGTCCCGTTCTATCTTCTAACCAGTTTTCTCGCGCGCTCTTTCAGTGTACCCGACCAAATCATCGAGCGGTGGGTACGGACCCCAGTACGGGTACAACACGTACAACCACCCCGGTCCGTATTACGGATCCCAGTACGGAAACTACAACTACTAGACACCGACGCCAGCGCCGCGTGGGGAGCGCGGGATGAAGCTGTAGTTGTTAAGCTATCCGCTGAGGTTCACTGTCGCTAAGGGCGGTGTGAGGTTTGGAGCGGTCTTATTGGCAGGCAAGCAGTTCAACAATTTGCCAATTGTATTTTTACCTCTCGCGGCAACAGTACTTAAGTAGATATATAGTTTTTCAGAGTTCTACCGGCATTACGTCAAAATTATCTCTTAGTTATGCATCACAGACAGTTGTATGAAATGATCGGTAGAAGTGAGGTGCCCCGTGCCCTGGTCCTCAACCCCCCTGAGCAGATTCGTTTATATCGAATCAATGTATGCCCTTCATGAGCAGCTAATGTAGTGGTTCCAATGCTGGTCCACTATTGGTGAGCGGACATACATTCCCCTCGTTTGTGTAAATAGATGTGTGTTCATGGCTTGTACATACCGTACTGATGTGTTCGTTTTAATACGGATTATCGGTTAGTGCAACGAACAATGCGGTAAATGTTGTGCCCCACGTGTAGTTCATACACTGTTATTCTGACTGTTTTGTACTATAGTGTTGCTGCCTTTGTGCCTTCCGGCTTTGATGATATTTATTCTGTAAACGCTTTTTCACGCATTCCTGTTTATGTGTCTAATTTATTTTCAGTGTTTTGGTTTTACTTTTAGCTTGGAAACGCTGTATGCCTTTGTTTCAACAGATGTATTTTAGTAGTTTAGATATCGGTTGTAATTAATTACCCACGATGGGTAGTAATTATCATTACCGATTTGCAGGTTCATCAACGAATTCCCGAGTGTTTTGCATTGTTGCATATTTTGTTGCGCCCTCGCAGCAGCCGGGGTCCTTATCAGCCCGTCCGTCCAGAGTTTGAGGTTGTGTGAGTGAGAGGATGATATTGCAACATAAGGCACTATGTTTTACCGGAGAGGACCGCATTTTGGAGGTCAGTAAAGAGCAGTTTCTCGTCCACCTCTGCCGGAAAATGGACCTTATTGAATGTGTGCAGTGTGATGTTGACGTGCTTCCGAATGCCAGTGTTGGGAAGAATGATTGCCAGTAAGGATAGATAAGGATGCATGTGTGAATCTGTGAATGACTCGTTTTACTCGATGTGTGCTGAGGCGAATCTTGATTGGTTACTTGTCCGAGCTCAAATGTGCGTTATTTGGGACAAGGAATAATTTTTACGATAGGTTTTCGATAACGGTCCGAATAAAATAAGAATGTGAGCTGCTGGTTTTGCCATCCTTTGCAGTAGTTAATCAAAAACGTGCCTTATAAACGAGCTGCCTAAACAATAGTCATACTGGCCACTGGGGGACGGGAGTCGATAGAGGGAATCTGGCTCGATCTAATTGGTTGACTTCCATGTCACAAGCGACTAGCGAGTCGTCAGATATTAGATCCTACACAAACATTCTCTATTCACCTTTTGCAACTTTGCATTTCATCTAAAAATTCATAGATTCATTCATTGCTATTCAACTGACGGCGACTATATAGCAGTGACATCACAAGCCCACCGCTGCAATACTAACTCCGCAAGAAAACGCTTGAAGATACGGCAATGGGATATTGAAACAGCAATGTTCTAACCCTCGCCGGCCGGGGCGGGGGGGGGGGTCCCATAGGTTTTTTTTCGCGATAGCTCCGAACACGCTGGCGATAGAGAGCTGAAACTTGGCATACCTGACCTTTGATTCAAGCCGGATCTTTTGACACCAACCACATTTTTGGGTCAGGTCAGGTCACTGACCTATGAGTTATGACGTCATAAGTGAACCTCTGCACGGTCTTCAGATGTCGCAACTTCGCAACGCCCTCACTGCCAGAGGAGATGTCACAGGGAAATGAAACTTGCAGGATCTAGTATCCATTATGGTCTCACAACTAGTATATCTCGGATTTTTCCTAAAGGTCAAATCAGGTCAGGTCATTTTCGTGACCTCACCATTATAAGTCAATGGGGAAAAATGAAAACTGCTATTCTGGCACCGGGAACGACCTCCAACTATCTCAAGCACACAGAATCGTGATTTGATGCACTCCTTGCAAGGTTAGATGCGTCACTTTTGCAACGTTGACCTTGCGTGACATTTATGACGTCATCAAGGTCATATTAGTTTTTCGTCAATAACTTTGGATCAAATTAAGCTAGCGAGTCGGGAAAGCCACCAATGGACTCAGGAAGACCTGCCGAATCGAATGGTATGCGACATGACCTCTTTCGACCAACTTCGTGACCTGAGGGAGCTGACCTGACCTTGACCTGAGGTCAACACCCTAAGTTGACCTGAACCGAACAAAAAGTATATCAGTCGACGCGCCGGAGCGAGGCGAACACGATGCTGCCAAAATCGCGGCTCTGCGGCCGTTTTTTGCGAAGTTATTGACCAAAAACTGAACCGTACCTAGGGGCACTTGACTTGACCTCAGAGGTCACCGGTTGACCTAGGACCTTTAAAATCGGGTACCGTAAAGTGGGGCTATTTGAGACAGTGGGGCTATTTGAGACAGTAAGGTAGTGGTTTAGTAAAATCGCTCTAAAATGAAAACTGTTTGATATTTTTTCGTCATTTTTGCTTAGGCTGATGTGGAATTGAACAGTGAATGACCTGAATACCCTTTTTGAAAAATTTCGAAAAGTTTTGAAAGAAATTTGGTGTAAAATACGAAATACAGAAAAACGCACAATTTAAGTTGCTCGAAAAGGACCCCTACCTGCCGCTTAACATAGTTGAAATTTTAACAGCTTCGGCACTGCATCTATCGTTACTACCGTTTTACTTATAGGCTAAGCATATTTTTCATGAAAATATTATACATTGTTAACGTTACTGCCGATTGCGTAACCCATTGTCTCAGAATCCCGATGATGCCCACCTGTTCAAACCTCAACCGATATGCCAAATAGCTACTGATAATGGTGATGCGATTGCACCCGAGAAGACTTACCACCATCTACCTGAAGTGCATCGAACGTTCGACATGAGCAACACCGATGAATCGGTCGTGGTCATAAACGTGCAGTGGGTTCATGGTAGGTACTTTTAGCAGCAAGCAATATTTACATGTTCGTAGTGTAACATAATGACCCTTTAGCTGGTGACCAAACTAGTTATTCTGATGAATATGTGCTGAAAATGTGCTTCATCAGTCACTGACTTAGTCGACAGTCAACACATGTCTACCTTGGTTGACCAAAAAAACACCATATAAGATTATTTAACACATGAACGTACTGTTAGGTGAGCCTATGCAAGTAGGCTTGATGTGGTAGGGTAACCGGCCAATTGATACAGCATGCAGCGATCGAGGAAAATTGGCATAAATTCAAAACCGCTTAACATTTTTCTGTTATTTCTTCGCATGAAGATGTGCAATGGAACAAGGAATCATGCAGACCATTCACTTAAATGTTTTGGGAAACCTTTTAGCTCGTTTGCTTCATTACGGTGTGCTTCATTAGGTAGCGAACCTGTCTCAAATAGCCCCACCGACTTTCAGTATGTCTGTTTTCACGCCACCGGGGCTATATACAAAAACTTTCTTTCAAAATGTTACTGTTGTTGACTTTAAAATAGTCCTTGATGATCATTCTGCAAATTTGAAAGTTTAGGGTCACATCATATTATGATAGCCTTAGCATATAGTGATGCACTTTTATAACCTACCGAAATCAGAAGCATCCTACGAAAAAGGAAAAGATTGAATATAAAGGAAATATAACTGTTTTTGCAAAAACAATTTTTACCAGAATGATAAAAATTTAATTTCCAATCGCATGGCATTTAAAAAATTATCTCTAGCGTGACCGATTTTCTTCAATTTCTTCGTAACTAAAACTGTCTCAAATAGCCCCACCCTATGGGGCTATTTGAGACAGGCTTTAACTAAAAAAATATCCTTAATCATTATAACTAGCTGAACCAAAATGCACCTATATGAAAGAGCTTACGGAGAACTACATTTTTACAATTTACATGCTATAAGGAATATGAACCGTCTTAAAGGGAGAGGCCAAAAACTGTAAAATCCGTTTCAAATAGCCCCACTTTACGGTACCAATCTCTGCGTCTCGTAACGGCGCACACGCTCGTTTTTTTTCCGCGACGCGTTAACTCCACCAGGGGCGAAACGGCGAGGGGGGGGGTCGTACCCGCCCCTCCCCCCTCGGCCGGCGCTATATGTAGAAAACCAATAGGTCCGGCGAGGGTTAAATGTCGTACTTGGTCTCCCTTGCATAAAAGACGCAAATAATGTCACCTTGCATTAATGAGAAAAGGGTCTGCTATCTTCGCAGTACAGCCTCTTATACGTTATTGGCCCCGCAAACACGCTCAAAATGCACAATCGTACCGTCTATTGGCACTTAGCACAGTAGAAAACACGCTGGTCCCACTACCAGATCTAAAAAAGGTACACCTTAATAGACTGATCCTCGGTTCACAAAAATGTCAGAAATCGGCACAGCAGTATCGCATCTTTCACAAATATCTATAAAAAAAAGGTTTCGCTTTGTCGATACCGTGGTTATTGCGGCTATTTCTATATAGCAAATAACACCATTCTTATCCCGAGTAATTGCGCCGATTAGTCCCGCATAAAACAATGCTTGGCTTGGCATCTTTGAATTATTAGGCATTAGCTTCTCAATCGTTGAATATATGCACTGTATGCAATCACTATTGAGTAGTCGAGCATTCAATACGAATTGGTTATATAGGTAACGGCAGCAATGGAATAAAAATAAAGTATGCCTCGATCGATTAGTATCTATACAAATTAGAGCAAATGACCATGACATAATCATTCGTTCTGGAACAATAGTGAATTAGTGACCTCAAATCGTTTCGAAGTATTTTGCTACAAAAACGGAATGTCAATATTTCGAGTGCCTTAATCGCCATATCTGCCAAGTGCCAATAAGAAGACCATTCAATGTGTAGTTATATCACAATTCAAAAGAAACCTGGAATGACATTGCTTGAAAACGCCATTAAATAAAAAAAGGCCAATTAAATCCAATGGCGTACTGAAATAACCTGACATCGAAGTTCATATCACAATCTTAGCCACGGCCATGGACACTGGACAGGGACCCTCTGAAAATCAGACGTCACCATCTTTATGCTGATGCCTCACTGACATCTGACATCACACTGTTACTAACATCAGTGACAAATGTCACACTAATAAACGAGTGTCACACTCTCAACTGACGTCACGCTTTCAAATAGCGTCACACTCACCCATTAACACCGCACTCACTACCTTTTTCCATCGCCCCACAAAACGTCTATCTACCAGAGAAGATGACTGGCTCGTCGTCGCCCATATGTTCATGATCGTGATGAAGTGTCGCCATGAGAGGATGCACCTTCTTCTTCTTGCCCGAGGTGTAGAACACGCAGACGGCACAGACGATGTTGGTGATGAAGCATACCAGCGCCATGATGAAGCTATAGCTGATGATGGACATGAAGGAGGCGGTCAGTGTTTAGTGTTTGTGTTTGTGAAAATGGTCGGAGTTTTTAGAGTTGGTCGATATCACTTAGTTAAGAACGCACATTTTATTGGGATAGTCTAAGGTGTTACAAAAAGTTAATTGAAAGCAATCTTACTACCTACGGCTACATCACTTGCTAATTGCCATCAAACTCATTAGCGAATTCGATCTAGACGGCCTCGTCAAAAATAGATAAATCAATCAATCAATCAATTGATAAATAAATATAAATAAATAAATAAATAAATGAATGAATAAATAACACCGGCTTTTCATCCTTAAAGGTAGAAAATTCTCACGAGTTCTTGTTCAATGTTTATCAGCTGTCGTAACCAACATCAGCCCATCAAAGGAACGTAAAGTGCGATAAAAAAAGAACAAGAACGCGCAATAGACGTCGCAGCTCACCCGTAGCTCCAGGTACAATGGTCAGGGTCCAGCTTCGACGGTCTGGCAGTGTTTTCATACTTCACCACCGACTCTTGGACCTGAATCACGACCAGCTTCACACCGGCTGGGGGAGAAGAGGAGACACAGATAGTGACATACCTGTGATACCATAATTACAGACACACACACAGGTGAGTGGCGGCTTCACGAGGAGAGAAGGGGAGACACAAAATGATAGGACTGATGAGTGATAGTTTCACTTGGGGGAAATGGGAGACACAAAATGATAGGGAAGCGGCGGCTTCACTGGAGGAGATGGGAAGACATCATTCAATAGCAGGTGAGTCATGGCATGCGGCGAAACATCGAGGGCTTGTCAACGACACATCGATGGGGTCTACTACCCATTGCCTCATTATGCTAGGTAATGACATATAACTATTGCCGTTAGAATATATAGATTGAAGGTACCCATGGTCACAAATCATTACTGATTTAGTACAGAACGGCAGAGACGGCTGCAAAGCTCACTATACAATTCTGAACTCACCACAGATGATGTAGGTTAGTAGTACATAAGCCCAATGAGCCGTTCCAAGATATAGAGCGGTAATACTCACCGCAAATGAAGTACAGACAGCCGGTGAGGCGTTTGAAGGTGTAGCGCGGGACCCGCATCGAGTACCATGAGAAGAAGATGGTGAGCAGCTGCATCAGCACAGAGAGCACCGAGAACGCCAGGCTGGTCCGCCAGAATCCTGAGGACGGCACGTCAGTCGTCTGTTTATTTCGCTCTAGTGCACACTACACTCGGACCGGTTTAAAAATGGCTATTTCTGTCAATGTAATAGCGAGTGATGGCGATAAAACAAGCGAAAGAAAACCTCACATTTCTATAAAACTTTAGGAACAGAAAAAAACATACGGACAAGGCTGTAGCAAAACTTCAAATGGTGCGAGTAAACCAGGAATCTAAACATGCAACCGTCACGAACGAACGAAAACGGTATTATTTCCAAAGTGGCTTGAATATTCGTATTGGCATGGAATAAAACCGATTAAACGGACATTTTGCCCCATCCACAAGGCAGCCCCCGGTCTCACCTATGAGTACGTTGATGGGATGGTCTGCCGGCAGTTCTGGAACGCTGAACACCTTGTGGTTTCGGCAGGCCGCTGGATACGGACACAGATAAACACAGACGTCAAAACTTTATGCGAGACATATCAGGAAAAATAGCAAAACAGCATCCAGCAAAAACATTGAGTGAACTGGAAACATGCTTTGAACGCAGAAATTTGTAAAAGCAAACGCCATTTGCAAGACTAAATTGCGTTTGGTACATGTAGCATTTGACGATCATCGCAAAAAATCATTAGATGGACAGTGCACAGCTATAGCTGTGTTGTTCATTCAGCTCTACTCTTATATGCGTGAGCTTACGTAGGTACTAAAAAATAACGATCCCATCCGTACTCACTTATAACAAACGCCTGACCGGGCAGGTTTGTATCATTATCCAGCACGGTTTTGCAGGACTTCCAGAGGCCGCCGTGAGCCGAGAGAAGGGCGGCACGGCTGATGTCAGGAAGACCGGGGTGCTCCTCTTCGTCTGCTCCAATACACCGGGTCACGTACCTGGCGAGGGTACCGGTCACAGGTATAAAATGTGAAGTTTGACTCCCAGTTTAGACACGGAGCAACACGGAGCAACACGGAGCAGGAATAGGAAATTTGGGAAAAGTCACGGTTTACAAGAGTTAACGACGGAACCAACAGAGAATCAGCAAGGAGAGATACGAAGAGTGAAAGAGCTACCCCGAAGCAAACTGTTCCATAAAGAATGTCGACATATCCATTTAATTCAACACTTTTTCTACATGAGCGGAGCCACGCTTTGCTTCGTTTTATGCTGTATTTTATTCATAACAGTAATTTATGCGCTGACGGAATGCAGTATCCCGTACTGTAGGTAAAAGTCTATTTTACACGAATAAATGCTCCTAGCACATGCATAAATAATTACCTTATCCTAGCAATAAGACATGAAATAAGCACAAATACTGCAGTACCGACCAGTAGTTAGTCGATATGGATACGATCCATGTGAGCAGACTCATCGCCGCCAGCCACAGACAGAGTATAAGCAGCTTCCTCTCGAAGATGACCGCCCGGGCAGCCTGCTTACTGTCCATCTGAGTTCCACCGTGGAGCGACATGGTGATCGCTTACTCGCTGTGGAAAAACAGGTAAACGACGTGTTTAAGTGCTGTAGCTTTGCTGGTCTGCACACATTTGAGGAAATTTGTGGGGAAAATTAAATCGTGAAATCGAGATGCGATGGTTTCTGTTGACTGACGTATCTGTATCTTAGCTTACGAATGACTGAAGTTGTATCGTGAAAATTTTTGTAGACTTTTAGCTATGTATTTGTATTTTGTATTTGTATTTATTCAGTTTATTGCCAACAGGACAGATTCCCAATGATAGGCAAAGTCGAGTAGATAAAACACAAACAATAAATAAATAAATATGCGTCACAACATTACAGATGGTCACTTGTCAGGCACCTGGCTAGTCGTGCGATAATCGTCGCCTTGCCGTCACAGAACATATCAACGGTAGGGCAGCGTGCAAGAAAAACATTGGTGAGTCTGGGTAATCTACAACATGCCGTTTTTAATAGTATTCACTCTGGCGACAGGCTCGAAAAAAGCAGCACGGTAGCGAGTGCTTCTGGATGGTACACGAATAGAGAAACGTGTTCGGGATAATGTGTTCGGGATAATTATATAGTGTTCTTTCCGAAGCTCAGCATCCAAGCATCTGTATGGTGTCTGACACAGTTGCAACACTGTATCCCGTTGACTCCAAATGCACACGTTCGATTAGCAGACCTGCATCGTGCAATAAACAAATATGGTGTCAAATGAACAAGGTTGAGAGCCGAGACAGACCGTGTGACTGCAGACTGGTTGCTAAACAAATGTCGGTATTCAGCAGATAGGGAAAACCGAAAAGGTTTTTTCACTGAACCAGTGTGAAACGTGACAAAATAGGCAGAAATCCAGGCTTGGAGTGGAACCGGAGTCGGAAGACGGAACACTTTACTCGCAGCCGGAGGTGGAATAGTTGGCCAACGCCTGAGCCGTCAAAACTTAAAGGCTCCACATCGCTCATTGCATGACGTGCGTAATACACTGTAATACTGTATGTCGGTACCTATAGGTAGGTCAGGAGCAGTGCACGAACCTGATTTATGGAGTCAAGTGGGGCAGATCTCGTAAGCCGTCCACCTGCCGAAGAAGTGGTTCATCCGCCCTGCCGGGCCCAGCTCACCCTCCAATCTTCTGCGATACAGCTGACCTCGTGTGGACTCTCAGACCGTCTTGCCCGTCAATGCAATGGTCTCCAAAAACTATCAGCATTCACAGATGAAAGTTTCACTCTTCTGTTGGATTTATGAAATTGTGGTTCACAACCTTACACAATGCACTAGCGGAGGGATTCTCGGCAACCTCGATACTACCCCAACAAGTGAAATAATAGAAAACAATCAAAAGCCACGCTACAAATATACACTCACAGCCGCTAGTGCCAGGGCAATCCGCACTGCGACTGCGGGGACGTGACGGGTGGCCCTGAGCGACCGCCTCGTCTGGCCACTATACACTGTGCTGATAGAGCTGCGCACGGTTCGATGAGAGCCCGTCCAACAGAGCCCCGAAAAGTGACCGACCGGGCTAACGACAGTGCCCTGTGCTGATAGAGCTGCACATGGCGCAGCGAGGACCCGCCCGACAGAGCTGCGACCGGTGGGACCGCTGGATTGGCCATCGTACTTTATGCTGATAGAGCTATGCACGACACGACGAGAACCCGCCCGACAGAGCTCTGAGCAGTCGACTGTGTCGGGAGCAGGGTCCTAACGGTGCGGGCTGGGCTGCGGTTTGACTGCGGTTGCGTTGCGGTCACAGACAGCAGTCGTGCACTGTGGAGCCGTGCCGTCACCGTGTGCAGTTGGCAGTTGCATTGTATATGGTATGCCGTACGACCAAATATGAGCTCTCACCAGGCTTCTGAATACTTAATTTTCAGCCTGAAACATTGCAATTTCAGGCATTTTAATTGAGGTAAATTTTTGCAGTAAAATAGTGCGGTGTGCAAATGCTGAGGAATCTTTTATTGTCCAGTGCTGCCACCTACAAACGTTACAGTTGAGGACAAAGCTCTTTGGGATCGTCAAATGTGATAGCGTATTTATTGATAAGGAAAATATCGGTGTTGGTGAGCGCAATCTTTTCATCATCTTTGCAATGCCCTCAAGGCTGGCTTTGATTAAGTATGCGTCAATAGCTTAGCGCAGCGCCACGGGGAGCAATGCCGCTTCAACCCTATTGGCCGTAGTGTCTAACGGTGGCGGCCATATTGCGCAGACCAGAAACCGGCTGCCGCCTGTGTTGAGGAATAGGGAATTCGGGACCTCGATTTACGTTTGCGGCCGCCGTATCCGTTACGTTCAAGTTACGTAGATACGGAACCCGGCATCTTACGCAGAATTGAGTGGGGAACACGATCGTATCTTCAGAATTCCTCAAATTCACTCGCCTGACCTACATTTGCCCCGGCCGAGGGGGTTGATTGAACCCACCTCGCTAATGCACCGCTAATTAAACTAGAATTAAGCGGTAAAGTGGTCGTATGCGGCAAAGTATAATGCAGAGTGACTGGTAGGAACCCGCTGTAAGGGTCTCAGGTCAACCGGTGACCTCTGAGGTCAGGTCAAGTGATCTAAGGCACGGGTTCGGTTTTTGGTAAATAACTTCGCCAAAAATGGCCGTAGAGCCGCGATTTTGGCATCATCGTGTTCAGCTAGCTCAGGCGCATCGAGTGATATGCTTTTTGTTCGGGTCAGGTCAACTTAGGGTGTTGACCTCAGGTCAAGGTCAGGTCAGCACCCCCAGGTCACGAAGTTGGTCGAAAGAGGTCATGTCGCATATCATTCGATTCGGCAGGTCTTCCTGAGTCCATTGGTGGCTTTCCCGACTCACTAGCTCAATTTGATCGGGAGTTATTGAAGAAAAATGGTGACCCTTGTGACGTCACAAATGACGTCACGCAAGGGCAACAGTGCAAATATGAAGCATAGAACCTTGCAAAGAGTGCATGAAATCATGATTTTATATGCTTGAGATAGTTTCAGATCATTCTCGGCGCCAAAATAACAATTTTCATATTTCCCCATTGACTTATAAGGGTTTAACGTATTAGTTCCTTATAGCTGATGATTTTTTAGGATTTCATCTTGTTCTCCACTCAATTCTGCGTAAGATGCCGGGTTCCGTGTCCACATAGCTTGAGCGTAACGGATGCAGCGACCGCAAACGTAAATCGAGGTCCCGAATTCCCTATTCCCCAGCACAGGCGGCGGCCGCTTTCTGGTCTGCGCAACATGGCGGCACCGTTGGACACCATTTGGCGGCCGATGCGCATTCCACATTATAGAGTTCAGTGCGCAGCGCTGAAATTATTGAATTGCGCGAATTCCAAGAACAATTTATTTCTCCAATTTAAACGAGGTTGCGACATTTCTTGCGCATTTTTGGATTACACATTTTTTCCCGCTTTTGTAATTGAAAATTGTAAATAAAATGCTTATGTTTTATCACATCATAATAAGTAATTCTCAGATCACTCTTGGATCATTATGAATGAGATAGACTATTTTCGGTAATTATTTTGGATGTCATTTTAATGTTTGCTTATGGCCTGCCATCCCAAGCTTATGTCCAATTATGACAAGTTATACCAATACCAAGCTTATGGTTATTTTTATTGTAAAAAATGAGCTACTTATGTTTGTATTCTGTGATTTTTTCCAGTTTTTTTTTTTTTAAAGGGTGCAAAAATAGCCATGATATGTGTGCTAATTTACCTGCTAACATACATTTTTAAATTTGTGGCAGTTGCTAAAGCCAAGGAATTGTTGAAGCAAATTAAATCTTTGCATGCACCTATTACTGTTATTGATATGTTAGACTTCGTCACCATTAAGCTTTTTCTGTCCTTAGCTTCCACCTTTGAAGTGAACTATGGCATCATCGGTGCCACGCAGCAGTAGTGGGCGCATTATAAAAAAGAACACCAAGTATGGCGAGATCCAGGGACAGGCATTTGAGCGAGTTGTCCAGAAAATGGTCGGCCCAGACCCTCTCTCTGATGGTGAGTCGTGTTTAAGATCTGAGCAAGTTAGCCTGAACATCGAAAAACAGTGTGCAAAACTTGGCACGCTATGATGTGCGTAATAGTGTATAGGATAATTGACAAAATCAAATATAGGCAACTGGCTCTGAAATAGTTAATGAAACAGGTCACTTAATAATGCTGACATCCTGCAATATCAATATAGTCACAATGTATTATGTAATGTGCAAAACTATTACACAGTTGAATGAAGTTTCGTTCTTTTGTTAGCTGTCAAAGCAACTGTAGGCTGGCTTTTAATTCAACCAATTCAATGCCATTAAGTCACTAGGAACAAGTCATGGAGCACTACAAGACCAGAGATGTTGGCTACTGATACCAATGATTGCTATAGGGTTGCTGACTATGCAGGCTGACTGTGAGGGTGTTCCTCTCAGTTGACTGTACCATCTGGGTCTGGGTTTTCAGAGGAGTATGATTCTGAGGCGGCACTGGCGGGCGGCACCGCATCAGAGAGCGAGGATGGAACAAAGGCCAATGGGTAAGCTGCTGAATAATTTGACATTTTGTATTTACTATTTGAGTCAAGGTAAATGCCATGACATCCCATGGGGTAACAGTGGAGATAAGTCTTGTACCGCTTAAAAACTATGCTTTGGAAATGGCAAACAGATGTGAGCATTTCAACAGTTCAAACTTTCCAAATGCTTACATGCTTAACTTTCATGTAACTCATTGATAGCTGCCTTTAATGATGATAAATCAAGGTACGCCCCATGAACCCCTTCTGTCACCAATCTGGTGGAGCATTCATTACCCTGCCTAATCATCCTAAAAAGATATGATAGCCAGACTTGTGACAGCTCAAGAAAAAAGTGAGCTCGCTCAGCTCAACTCCGTTTTATCCGCTCCCGCTCAGCTCCCGCTCAGTTTAACACGGCTCAGCTCAGCTCACGCTCCGCTCAAACCGGCTGTGCTCCGCTCACGCTCAGCTCAGCTCAGCTCAGTTTCCGCTCAGCTCAGCTCAGCTCAGTTTCCGCTCAGCTCAGCTCAGCTCAGCTTCCGCTCAGCTCAGCTCAGCTCAGTTTCCGCTCAGCTCAGCTCAGCTCAGTTTCCGCTCAGCTCAGTTTCCGCTCAGCTCAGCTCAGTTTCCGCTCAGCTCAGCTCAGCTCAGTTCCCGTTCAGCTCAGCTCAGTTTCCGCTCAATTCAGCTTAGCTCAGTTTCCGCTCAGTTAAATTCACGCTTAGATCGCTCAGTCGTTCTTTTTAAATCGGACATGCTTAACCCTCGCCCGTGTAGGGGGGGGGGGGGGGGTCGAACGGACCCCCCTGTTTTTCGCGAATAACTCGCGTAAAAAGCGGCCGATCGCGACGAAACTTTCAGTACCCTCGCGATAATCAATTTTACACCTATCCTGAAAATTTCATGACCCTGACCCTAATGACCTTTGACCTGTGACCTACTTTTCGAGACCATGTTTGGCCGGAATCGCGATTCGGCGTATGTCGGCTCGCATTAGCCGCGCGTTAGCAGTCTTTTTGTGGTTTCAAGTGTTCAAACATGGCATATGATGTTGCTCCCATGCATTAGGGTGGGTGTCAAGGTCACCGGAAGGTCAGGTCAGGTCATTGACCTTTGATGACCTCGGTTCACTTTTTCGAGTTTTACATGTTTCTAGGCTAGTTTTTGGAGCTGAATTCGAATTTAGCAACCATTTGAACATTTACGAAGCAGTTTTGGTGCCTTCGTAACATGTTACGAAGCTGTCAGAGGCTACTACGAATTACGAATACCCGGCAAAATCCTTACTGGTTGACCTGACCTGACCCGACCTGGCCTCAATGCATAAAGACATCATCAGTGATCATAACTAACATGATATTCGTGATCAGCACCCCGAAAAACCCCATAGCAGCCACGTTTTACGACGTTCTAACAGGTCCCGATTTTCCCGACTTTTGGGTCATTGACCTGACCTGGAAGGTCAACCGATAACCTAGGACCTTAAAATTGGGTATCATCGGCTTCCTCTCGTCGCGGGCAGCACGCTCGTTTTTTCCGCGAAGCTCTAGCTCGATCAGGGACGAAACGGCAAGGGGGGGTCCAACGGACCCCCGCCCCCTTATACGTTCGCGGCTGGAAAAACACCAATACGGGCGAGGGTTAAAAAACAGACCAACTCTTGGCGCATAAGTAAGTCTCCTCTAACAAGGAGCGAGGCAACTTACACAATGGGCAAAAGAGATAAGCTCATTAAGACCTTGAGACTTTGCGAGTCGTGCGTCTACTTGGACTCAGACTATAGTTACATGAAATGGACTGTTCTTGGCAGTGTTATCACATGTTATCAGAGTGTGCACCCGCGATGTTAACATAACATAAGTTCAAAATATACGAACGAAAAAAGTCTGGACGAAAAAGTTTACAGACGAAAAAAATGTACAGACGAAAAAATGCCAGACGAAGAAAAGTCGGACGAAAATCTGCTAGACGAAAAAAACGCCATGGAATCATCTCAACTAGGCGGTGTTTCACGGCCGAGAGCAGCACGCCCACGCCGCCACCCGCTCTTGGCACCCTGCCAGGAGCTGACGTTACATTTTGGGGTAGTGTTGGAACTTGGAGATAAGAGTTTGTTTATATCTCCATGGAAACCCCATTTGACACGTGTGATAGCAGCGTGCTGTTATCAGTGAAACCTTGAGTGAAACCAAACACCACCCTGATCTCAACCAAGGCAATGTCAACACAATTAGAATTCATAGTCGGCGTGTGAATAAGGGAGCTTTTCCCATATTATGGACATCAGAAGGTGAGAGTTCCAGTTAGCGCCTCTGCCCCACCCCACTTTCAATAGGATATGGTTGCTTAGCCCACATTCAACCAACGAAGAGGAACATTTGCTAATTCCTAATTGTAAATATTTTATGCAGAGGTAAGAACCCTTATCGATAAAATTAATTTAAATAACTGCTTAAATAACAAAGTGAAGAATGCTGAATTGTACATTGCGGAGCAGAGTGTGAAGGCGAAGCATCAAAGCCTGACAGTAGGTATTCATCTTGCAGTCAGACTTGAAACTTGAGACTGGCTGTATTAGCCTGTAAATTGGCCAAGACCCTGGTCTTCCAATTTCCATGCAACATGGATGAAATAAATTAAGCTTGATTAGTGATTAATATTGATTTCTTTAGAGTTTTGATATTTTTAAGTGCGATCACGAAGGCAGTGTAATTGCTCACTCCATAGCTAGCTCATAGCTGAAGCATCAAATCCTGAGTTAATTTCCAAGCATGAACTGAAAAGAATTAGAACTGGATCAGCTCAGCTCAGCTAAATCAGCTCAGCTCAATCAGCTCAGCTCAGCTCAGCTCAGCTCAGCTCAGCTCAGCTCAATCAGCTCAGCTCAGCTCAGCTCAATCAGCTCAGCTCAATCAGCTCAGCTCAGCTCAGCTCAGCTCAGCTCGCTCAGCTCAATCAGCTCAGCTCAGCTCGCTCAGCTCAGCTCAGCTCAGCTCAGCTCAAGCTCATTCAGCTCAGCTCAGCTCAAGCTCATTCAGCTCAGCTCAGACAGCAGCTCAGCTCAATGCATTACTGAGCCGGCTCAGCTCACAGCTCAACAATTTGGCAAAATGTTGAGCCGGCTCATGAGCTGAGCTGATTTTTGAGCCGGCTCAACTGAGCTGATCACAAGTCTGAATTGATAGCCAGTGTTTCTAACCAGTATCGGCCCATGACTGACTTACCCCCCCCCCTCCCCCACCGGCAGTCTCGGCCCCGACCTGGACCCGGATGACGTGTGCCGGTGCGTGGTCTGCTGGGACCCCTGCTCTCCGGCCCCGGCCGCCGCCAAGGCCTACAATCGACTCAATGGATATGTGGCAGAGCATGGGGACAAGCCTGCCCAGCTGGTGAGACATGACGCGTCTGGCGATGTGTGTCATAAAACGAGTTTCGGTTTAGTCGAGCTCGATAGTCTTGCTCTGGAGCTTTTACACCGGCCATGTTATGTGTCTTACGCCATATTTCTTATAAGTTACCAGTATAACGCCTTTTGGGGCGACTAACGGAGCGAGCGAGAGGGTGGGCCTTGCACGTGCGAAATTGCGAGGGGGTACCTCCAGCTGACTTGTGCACGGCACCCTACTAACTGGTCTCTAGCGATGTGCCAAATTTGGGCACAATCGGCCCAGCCGTTCTCGAGATCTGGAAGCGGCACCCTGCACGTGCGCACGTGCAAAATGGGTCCCAACTGACTTGTGCACGGCACCCTACTAACCGGTCCCCAACCGTGTACCAAATTTGAGCGCAATCGGTCCAGCCGTTCCCGAGATCTGGAAACGACCCCTGCACGTGCGCACGTGCAGCAGCACCCCAACTCTGGCACATGTATATGCAGTGCCTAGTGGGTGCCTACCTACATGCCAACTTTCAGCGCAATCGGCCAAGTAGTTACCGAGATATTGCAACAATTACAAAACTGACACCTCTTCGTTTTGCACGTGGCACGTGCATAAGGGGTCACCCACATGCATCGGGAATAGTCCAATACTTGGTAGAAGGAATGAAGCTACCCTACAAAAAATACCGCGTGTAAATCGGTCAAGTGGTTGCTGAGATATAAGCCTCGCAAAAGCGTGACCACGGCCGGCCGGCCGGCCGCTCATACTCAGAAATTTCCGTTAATCTAAGGAAAGACTACGCTCGCTTCGCTCGCTCCGTAATAAGGTATCCCCATCTGTTGTAGTGTTGTATTGAATGAGACCCGGATAATAGCCGTGTCTGTGAAATGATTGTGAATCTTTTAAGTAGATTCTGAATAGCTATTCACCTGGTAATAATTTGGCCAATGCTAAAGCATGTGGTGGATTCCCCTGATTATCACTGTCCAAATGTGACCCGACCTGACCGCCTGTTTTCGTCAGATAACCGGTGCACTGGGTATGGATCTGGACGCCGCCGCCAAGTTTGAGTTGCTTTGTCCCGTCTGTGCCGCCCTCGTACGGTAAGAATTGCTATCAAGTTTCCGGTTATTGCTTAATCTATGCATGGTGTGTGTGTATCAGGGATATTTCTTGGGAGTTGGGGGGGGGGGGTAATCGTTCCTTGGGAAGAAATATTTGTCCGTTTCTTGGCTCGGCTATAAGTGCAGTGTGAAATCCCGTCAGTTTAAGCTCAGTTTTAATTCGTTTTGTCGCTCGATGTATAGAACTCCTAGCAGGTGTGTCAATACTTTCTGAGAACAGCTATAGTCAGTACTCAGCGGATATGATGTGTTGAGTTTGCCGTTTTCGATCATCTGGATAGAATCCTCACTTTCACCAGCTACCAGCTTACCACCTAGTTTGCTCCAGTGTAGGCCTCGGTTGCGAAACTTAGCAGTAGGTGTCGCTACTTTACTGGCGTAGGTGTAAGTTCGCTGCAGTGCCGATGCTCATCATTTTTTTTTTCACCTTTGGCGTCATTTGTCGTATAAAGCTTTCTTAAATGCCATCAGTCGTCCCTTTATTATGTCTTTTGTCGTTGACTTGTACCGCACCTGCCTTATTTGTTTAGGCATTGTTACATGACGTAACTCCTGTCCATCCCTCTGCAGTGAACTTGAGGAGCGTGAACAGCAGGTGCAGCTGCTGCGAGGACAGCTGCTGGAGCGGTTCACGCGCAGCCAGCAGCTGCTGCAGCCGCCGGCAGCTGCTGAGGAGAAGGAGCCAGCAGACGGAGAGACCGAGGGACAGGAGGATGAAGTGCAGGCGGCCCTGAAGGCGCTGCGAGCCGACGCACAGCACGGCATGCTTGGAATTCCCGGGGTGAGGAATGAGTCATTTCCTCTTGCTAACTAATGTCCGCTGTGGCAACGCACCCCCCCCCCCGAGTCACCTGTCCACCCCTGTGACATGCCCGTAACACCACCCAACTGACACTTTATTCATGATTGCACTCTCATGACCCCCGCCCCCCCCCATGACACTGCCCCCGTAACGCTGACCACCTTGTGACATCACGCACTGTGGCGCCCCTCTCCCCAAGACGCCTCCCCTTTGACACCACTCTCTGTAACACTCCCTCTCCCTTGCCGCCCCCAGCTGGGCCTGCCACTCCCGGAGCCGCCGCCTGCGGTGCGCTACATCATCAGTGGCGAAGGCGACGTCCTGCCTCGAGAGGAAGACACTGTCGAGGCGTATCTCTCACGCCGAGACGAATGGATCACTCAGACCCCCGGCGCTGCAGGTAGCGGGCTAGTCCACGCAGTGGTAGAAGCATCTGCCGATGGCATTGTCCCCCCTCGCGCCGGACCAGGCGTCCAACCATACCCTTGTTCAGAGTGTGAGAGGGTGTTTTCGTCCCCCGAAGCGCTAGCTCGACATGAATACTTCCAGCATGAGGTGGGGGAGCTACCGGGTGCTCCGGGAGGCAGTACCCAGCGCCCCGCCGCGGTCGCGGTAGAGGTTGTGATGGAGGAGGCGGGTGCCGCGCTGGGGCAGGAAACAACACTGGAGGATGAGGAAAATGAGGACTCTGGGACCTCCAGCGGCGCAGGAAGAGGAGCGGGACAGATGCCCGGCAAGCGCCGCCGCGGCCGACCCCGGCTGCCCGACAGCGTAGCTCTTCGTTCAGGGCCATGTCAGTACTGTGGGAAATTCATCAAGGTGGATCTACAGGGTCACATCAATCGCTTCCATACGATGGTGCGGCCTCACCACTGCGATATATGTGGGAAGAGGTTGGTGAGTCGACATGCACTGGCTGAACATCGTCAAGTGATGCATGGTGCCGGACAACCATGTGATCATTGTGGAGCAACTTTCGCCAGAAAGAAGCAGCTCTCGATGCATCTGTGGCGCAAACATGGTATTGGCGGCGTACAATGCCGCGTGTGCGGCAAAAAGTTTGCCAGATCGGATACTCTGGATGGGCACATGAGGTGCCACGAACGACCAATGCAGTGTAGCCTCTGTCCAGCCAGGTATCCCTTCAAACGTGAGCTACGCAACCACGAGTTCCTGAAGCACGGTCTTCACGGAGAAATCCCTCGCGACTCTGACCACCGCCCGGGCGAGATGTACCGGTGTGGAAACTGCGGACGCTGCTTCGGCTCATGGGCTGGTCGTGACAGACATACCTGTGACAGCGCAGCGCCCCTATCGGATCTCTACGTGTGTCAGCTATGTGGTGACTGGAGTACTCGCTTCGAGGGTGACATGGTCAAACACATGAGGAATCTGCACAAGATCGAAGCAGAGACTATCCTCATCGCGGATATTGAGGACGATGGAGCCGCGGCGGGAGGACAGGAGGACGCTGCTGTAGCTGAGGAGGAAGAGAATGAAGAGGAGGAGGACGAGCCTCCAGCCCGTCCCAATATTTTGACCAGTGCTTCTAGAGCAAAGGTGAAGGACGATCAGTAGACAGCTGCCGCTGCTGTGAAGCAATGTGGTCTCACGACCCTGAGATGGAGCCGCGGTGATGCCTCACGACCCTGAGATGGAGCCGCGGTGATGAAAAGGATTGACGTAATGTCACTGATGTTTAGACTCTGATAACGCGTCAGTGTGACGCTGATTCATTACATCATATTGAAAGGGCACAGGCCAAGCGCATGTCATACTGAAGTCATTTCATCCCGAACGCGACATTGTCTCTGACGGCGAGGCTCTGGAGTGTGTGTTGGGGGGGGGGGGAGGGAGGAGTAATCATTACCTTCTCATGTAGGTTAATAAGTTGGATGCAATCGTGCCTCGATTCGTAGAATATGTGCCCACATTACGTCTTCATGCACGGTGAATTTTGTGTTAATATTCCAGACTACGATCAATCTAGGGCCGATTTAAGAAATTGTAATTTTGGCAATGCATGAATTCCAAAGCATCTCGGTTAGCTATCTGCTCTGATTTCTGTTTGTATGCGGCTCGATGCATTCCGTTTGGAGCTATCATTGGTGACATTATGCGATCACTTGGGAGAATATCTGTGGAGCAGGTTATCGATAGATCAGTCAATTGGGGGATCATCCACAATTCAGTCTGTGTCCGATGGGAATGAGGTTGATGTGTGGCCTTTTTTGGCTTTGGGCGAGTTATGTTCGCTCAATTGTCATGAGACCTAAGTTAGTTGTGTAGGCACTGGTGTATTTTAATGGATATCAGTGGTGCACCTGTGATGTGTGAAATACGTTTGTTTTGTTTTCGATGCGCACATTTCCTAAGTTCGCAAGATTGCATGTTGATTTCTAGTTAAGTTTCTCTTGGGTGTATTCGCGTTACTTTCATTTTCCATCCTGTGTGCTATGGGAGCCGATTTGTATATGTTTTGTTGAAACCTTTCAATGTCATCTTCGACTTGCTGGTTGCATTTTCATGACCATATGATATAATACAGAGACTTCATGCGCATATCATCCGTTATGTTTTATGTACCGGTATTGCTTTGAAGCTGGCATCGAGTATAGGCATGCGTCGTATGATCGATGCATCAGAAACCTTAAAATGGGTGGGGATACACTTTGCGGTGGTCCAAAAGGAACACTATAACTAGGAGTTGACACAGTGTGGTTACGGCTTATTTGAAGGGAAGCATATTCGCATATTAGTTCGCAATCAGCGTGAGACATTGCTGGGTTGGGTACTTTTTCTGGATGAACATCGTAACAGTAGGCATAATTATCAATACGCTGTGGCACCGTCTCACTATTTTCAGCAGTCCTGCTTTTACAAGAAGCACTTCAATCAGCTGGGGGCGTTACGCTGCTGTCATGAAGAAGTCCTATTTTTAGCGGAAATTCTGGCCCACGATCGTGGTGAAAACTTGCAGTGTTAACTGTTGAGAAACTTGCGCCTCTCAGCGGAGAACAATCTCTCAATCGTGGTTTAAATCACAGCGGAAAACACTGTCCCCTTAGCGTGACAAAGTCCGGTGGACACTCGCTCTGTGACGACGAGAAACTGCGGCAACAGCCAGTGCCGCACTCCTCAAAACCGAATGCACAGCTCGGAGCGATTGCCGCACTGAAAACCTGAGGCTCAATGGTGGTAGGTATGATATTCACTGGGAGCTCCAGATCAATGCTTTCTTCATCGCCTTCTTCGCCTCCTTCAGTCGGAATTTCAACTGGAGTTTCGTCGATGGTTGGTTCATTGTTGGTGCTAGTCTCTTCTGTGTTTGCTGAGGCTTCCTGATTATTTTCATCTCCTTCACCTATGATGATTGGGCCTGTTACGCCGGTCTTCAATCCTTCGCCTTCCCCACTGCGTTTTTCAGACGGTTGAAGGACGGTGATGTAGTACTGATCTCCGCCACTATAGGTGCCACTGGAGCGGGGTATCGCCTCTTCTAGGCCAGAGATAATAGTGATGTAATATTTGGGAGATTCTGCCACATCCAGATAATCACTTGCATAGGCGTCGCCAGATATTTTGGATTCACTTGAATGCTGTGTGATGATATCTATTGGCGAAGAACCGACCAGAAGTGAAGTAGCCATCTGAAAAAAGGAGAACGTATCATGAAGCAACGCTCCTGATAGTGCCAAAGCAAGCAGGCACGAAACAGGAGCGCAGTATACAGAGCCATCATAAATCAGGAGCTAATCATCAGCTTCGGTTGATCTAAAGGGCACATTAGGTCGATAGCTGCTAACGACCACATGTTTTTTTTTCAATATAGGCTCGTGTTCATTCCATAAACAATTAGTTGAGCGACGAGCCGCAATGCATTTTCGAAAATGACTAATTACCTACAACAGAAACGAGGTAACGGCAATACGGTTGAAGGTTACTATGTAGTTGTTAGACGGGTTATACGGTTATGGGGTACGACTTACCACTGAAGTCGTTATCAGGAAACATTTCCACGCCAGCGCCATCCGTTCTGGTGAGAGAGGATCCACTAGGAACGTGGCACCACGCTACACTTACACACTATCACACTACTATTTCACACAGCCAGAAAGGACGGCGTTCACCCGTGACACCCTCTCTTTAGGATTCCACTGAGACGACTGCGGGTAGCACCTCAGTCGTCTCAAACCGAGCTGAGCCGCAATTTACGCAATACAGCAATCCATTCAGACGTCGGCTTTGTCCCAAAGCGAAGGTCGCATGTGTTAGGGAGCGTTCATCGCATAGAGACGGCGACAGGCGAGACATTAACCGAAGAAGAACCGATTGTTCCTCGGAGCCCGAGGCTGCTGCGCCGCTGAGCTCGCTGCAGAACGGGCGAATAGAGTGTTGTGATCTGGGAGAGATAAACGGCGATTATCTTTTTACCCGGAGGCGCCTAGTGATGGTGTTCGTCGAAGGAATGTGGCTTTGCTCAAGGACGGAAATGCCGTATGCATAAATGTGGCTTGTGAAGTCATGTTGGATCCGCAGGTTGGGTACTGGAAGTGATGTTTTGCGAATCGGTATCTTAGCTGTGTGCCGTTGCAGTTCCAACGGCATCATAACCATTGTATCATTCTTTCAGCCCACTCAGACACTTCACTAATAAATGGACGCAAGGTCAGTTCTTCTACTATGTTGATCAACGAGGCTTCGTATTAGAATAACTGTCCGTTTAAAAATAGCATTGACCAGAGAGAGGCATGTGTTACTTTATTACCTGTTAGACCAGTTAGCCGATTTATCGGTTACCTTAGACATGTTCGGCGCATTAGCGGCCTCCTTCACTTACTTCCCCACTGGGTAGCAAAATCCATGCTTAGATAAGGAAGAAAGGTCTTAACTTCTAAGGGTAACGGTTGTTGAATTGTTGTTATTTTGGCATGTTTATTTGCTCTTTCATTGTTATTGAACTCGGGTTTGGAATCAAATTTATTGACGAAAACAGCGAAGTCGGATTGAAATCAGGTGACTCGGCCGACATTACATGTCACAACCCACCGGTTTTACACGCACATTTATGCTAATTACATTTCTAACTACATACCATTTATTGTCCACTCATTCACCAACAACTCGACATGACCATTTGCAAACATCCAGACGCCTAATCGAAAAGGTCACATCTCCCACCCACCCGCGGCAAACCGCTGGGACAGGGCGGCAGTTCGGAGACCATTCGACAACATCCTCCCCCGCATCTACCGAATCCCTCCGAACACCCCACAGCAATAACATCTCCGAACTCGAAATCAAGAGGGTTAACTTCGGCGCTCATCTCATCCGGTTCGTTTGTGTTTCCGGGAGTATCGGTGTTGATTTTATCTGATTTGTTGTCGTCGTTATCGCTAGTGAGAGAAGGCTGGGATACGGAAATAAAGTATGAGTTTTCGTTGGTCGGAGGTTGAAGACGCCAGGTCGGTGGCTGAGATAAACCCGTGATGATTGTGATGTAGTATGCTGGAGTTTCTGTTATATTCGAATCGGTCGTGGAGCGACGGTGTTTCACTGAAGTAGGTCTTGGAAAGCCGTGTAGAGAAGCAGCCAACTGAAAAAAAAGAAAGATAAATTTCAGAGCAAAGACAACCACATGAGTACCGCTGCGGTACTCATCTAACATGTCAATCACAAAAAGACTGGAAACAAGCGGACAATGTGAGCTGACACGCTAAATCGCGATTCCGGCCAAACATGGTCTCGAGAAATAGGCCACAGGTCAAAAGTTGTTTTGGTCAGGGCCATGAATTTTTTTTAGAGTGGGTGTAAAATTGATCAGCTCGAGGGTACTGAAAGTTTGGTCGCGGTCAACCGCTTTTTGCGCGAGTTTTTTTGCGAAAACCCATGGCGGGTCCATCCGATCCCCCTCCCCGTCCCTACACATGGCTCGGATTGCCTGTTTTTTTTTGTAAAAAAAATCATGGTCTCAGGGCTGTGACGAAAAACAAGTGGCCTAAATCCGGTGAGAAAACAGGATTTGGGGGTACCCTAGGTTTGGCTCCTTCAGTCTCTGCCCCCCCAGTGAAAATTCCTTAGACGAGGCCCTGGTACCGCACCCTATGATGACCGTTAAATTTATTTTGTTCCTATATACGAAATCCATATTCATATCGACGATTGCACTTTGTGAAACGTAGTTCTGTATTGAAACTCCATCGATGATCCATATCGAGGCTAGTATTTAAAAAAAATGTCATGCACCGGAGTTCGAAGCTGAACCGTAATACGGGATAAAAAGTAAAGAGGGTCGCTTACCATTATTATTTTTAAATTCTATTGGGATATTAATAATAATAAAAGACTGGTAGGAATACCAGTCCGAATATTTCTAGCAGTAAATAAATTTATCAACCAATTTTAAGTTTTTTTCTTCCACATCAGTTTGCAAAAAAAAAAAAACGTTGTAGCCTGCATTACTATTGGTGAGGTGAGTTGCTGTTATACATCGAATTAGTGAGAATAAAAAAAAAAACATAAATAAATGGATGAGCTCCTGGTCCGGGTCCTTATTACAGAGAATACTCTCGCCCGTCAAACACACTACCACCAGTCCGAATATCACATTTTATACCTCCCAACCGATATCCACAATAAAGGCAAAACACGGGCGCGCTTACCTACCTGTAGCAGCATTACTGAAATGCTCAGCAGAGGCGTCATAATCTTGGTGTAACCCACTGCCAATCAGCAGCGACGCCAAATCAGCTTCTGTCCTCAATAGATGGCCTTCCAAAGACCCACAGCACACATTCACTTTTGTCCCGGCACTTGGTTCAGCAACTAGCGGACAGTGATGGGCTATCAGCAATCAGTCACCAGCGTAAGCGGTCAGCGATCATAGCGTTCAGCGGCTGAGCGGGAGATGATCTAAGCGTGCCCACCGAGGAAGAATGATCGTGTATCTGTCGAGAGATGATCTTTTACTGGCCGTCTGACTAGTAGCTGCAGCGTGCAGCCATGCGACTGCAAAGGTCCACCATAACTGAGGTACCCCGGGGCGACCAAGTCAAGGTGAACATGTTCCAGAGATAATCGCATTAGTTTGCATGCTTCTGATGCTTTACTTGAAGTAATGAGTTCCAGTCATGCGAATGATAAACGAGCGCGCGGTGAATGGGATGAGTAGTGGGCATTGTCAGTGCAGATAATTCTGCGCTAAAATTAGATTTTGATGTAAGCATAAGTGGGTACTGGGTGGATACTGGATATGTTATGTCTAAACTATAGACAGCTTATTGCTCGGCAGCATATTCCACTGTGTACTGCGTATATTGATCTGCTAAATGATAACCATGTGCGCGGTCAAACTGTTTCGTTTGGTTTTGGTTTTGCAAAGGTTATAACCGTATAACCGAATAGATTTCACAGTCCATTTGAAACCGATCTTCGCTGAACACAATGAACCGGCCATTGCCAAGACCCATTTCCGCATTATTACAGTGATAGTGACTCAGAGAAGGTCACTGCCGGCCGACCGCGCACTCGGCAACCCTAACCAGCCTGAGCTCTGCACCTACCAACCTCAACTGCACTCAACTGGCCCCAACTGCACCCAACTGACCCTAACTGCACCCACCGACCCAGCCTCCGAGTCTAACCAACCTCCGAGCTGATCATGTTTACACCTGAGGCCAGTTTTACCAACAGAAAAATAGCCGCCTGCCGGAATTGTTTGCCTAAAGACCGCTTCGCATAGGTACGGAGCGTAAGCGGTAGAGCCCTATCCGCTTACGTGCCCATCAGTGTTCGCCACGGGCCCCAAAATCCCCAGCCCAGCCCGGCCCGGGCCCATGGGTTCAGAGCCCGGCCCAGCCCGTAGCCCGCTCTTGGCAAATATTCCAAGCCCAGCCCGGCCCGGCCCGTCAAAAATAGCAATCTAGTTATTGTCTTAGTCTATGGCTATAATAAGCATGATTGATTACACTATTTTGAGAACAATTCAAATTGCATGAATATTAACATGGCAATCATGACTCCCTTCTTTTCAATGAATATAATCATTTCAAGCACCTATGGCACAAATTTTAACAGTAACAGCAAGCACCTCAGTCAATTAGGTCATGATTACACACCTATAAAAAGTTTACATGATTATATTAACTACATTCTATGAGTAAAGTTATCTTGCAAGCTGATGTGTGTGAACATTATCATTAATAATTGGTGACTCTAATGCATACTTGAAGGAAGTATTTGCAACATACTCTATACTTCCCAGCACTTACCAGCAGAAAAAAAGCTTGACTTATGGGAATTGATGAATCTGTCTGGGATTGACCTTGCTGTTAAATTCACTCCATAGATGCTGCAATATCAAAAGCCTGAGAAAGCATACAAAATAGGTGACACTAACTTTAGCACTGTCTTCCAAAAAAAGAGAAAATCCATCCATTTATCAGCAAAACTGATTTAATCTATTTTCAATTCATGCCCACGTGTCAACCGAATCTCTGTGGACAACTATCTGCTACTTTCCTTGCTATTTTATGTTAGGCTCTTTTCAAGATATGGATATCGCTAGCAGCGTAAGCAGAAAACATGGTAAGCTTGAAATGTCATTGGGTACTTTTGCGACTTGTACGCATCATCATCATCAATTGAAAATGAGCGAACACTTCTTGATTGTCGCAGCTGCGGCAGGTAGCGATTCTGACGAATTGTATAATAAAACATATATGATCAAGTTTTTGTTTTGTTTTTCGTTCGAGTTTTCAGACTTCGTGATTTTGGTTTTATTTTTCATTGGTTTAATTTTGTTTTCACCTTGATACTCACTTAAAAAACGTATTTATTTGATATACTGTTGTGTATACTACCTAGATGCCGCCACATAAACATAGCGCCGCCGCCATGATTGCACATTTTGTTGAGAAGGGGCTGGTTTGTTGTGATTTATTTGGACAAATTTATGGACATTTAAAGAAGCTTTCATCGCGAAATACTCTGTAGAGTTCCTCGTTACTTACAGTGTGTTTTGTGAGTATCCTTTTAAGGTTCTGTTCGTTAAAAAGCCGTCGGTGAAGGAAAAAAGACTGTGTTGGAATTGTCTCACTATCGCCATATATAAGTGTTAACTTAATGTAGCCCTGTAGCCCATCATTGTTGAGTGGCTTCTTAGTTTTTGGAGTTGTAGTGCTAAGTAAGTTGTTCTGATGACTACATTTTAACTTTTATTAACAAACTAATGATGCTAGAGATTCTCTGATCTTTTTGGTTGCGGAATTTTTATGAAAACCCTCCTATGTGTGACATGATGTGATATTGGATAATTCTCAAGATTCCCAAAATTCAATATCAAGTAGGTTTTCTTTCACATTGCTTAAATTTGGTTTAGTTTTTGTATTTTCCCAGTGGGTTTTGTTTGCATCAGTTTCCAAATTTTCTTAAATTGACATTAGTCGCAAAACCCATAGTGCACAAAGTTCTTGGCCCGGCCCATCCATAGCCCGTTAACTAATGATATTTGGGGGCCCGGCCCAGCCCGTAGCCCAGCCCGGCCCGTGGCCCGTTGGGCTGGCCCGGCCCGTGGCGAACACTGGTGCCCATCACGTTTACGTGATGGGCATGTGAAGCGGTCTTTAGGAAAAAATTCCGGCCGGCGGCAATTTTTCTGTTGGTAAAACTGGCCTCTCATCTAAAATTTGCATGACCTTGATCTAAATGCCCTTCACATGTAACCTCTTTCTTTAGACCATGCCAGGCAAGAATCGCAATTGGACGCAGCTCACATACACCCTCTTATCATATCATGCGAGTCACGAGTTCTTACAGGCTTATTGGTTTCCTAGAGCCGCTCATTATCCTCGTCGAAGGGCTCCTTTGCCCCCAGAGAAGGCATGCCCCACCATTTGCCGACCCCTCTATATGAACTTGAAGACATGCGGAGAGCGAATCCAATGCATAGCCCACTTCCATCTCCCGAACACCCCGTCAGCTAAACCCCTGCGCGGTTCACCTGTACCTATCCCAGAATAAAACAATCGCATACATAGACGCATTTCTATTTATCAAACCCTACATCTATACTCTCGTGAATATCCGACAAGTTGGATTAAAACTTTCAAAAAACGTACAGTCACTCGATTTTTCTCAAGTTTGTCTGTCTTGGACTAGTGGTGGATGAAGCAATGACAGAGCAACGGTCTACGAACATAAATAAATAGGTATTTGATCAGGATTGAATGCTTGGACACTTTTTAAAAGGGATATTTCGTCCTTCGCGGATATTTATGAGATGAAGGGTTTGTCAAAAAAAATGCGTCGACATGTTCGAGACGTGACGTCACTAGCCTGAACATGGTGCCGACGCTATTCGTTGTGTAAAGTGGCGCGGGAACTTCTTCCAGACTGGGGGGCTGAACCATAATAGAGATCAACCTGGGTACCCCCAAATCTAGTTTTCTCACCGGTTTTAGGCCACTTATTTTTCAGACCTTGGCCTTTTCAACAAAAAAGGAAAATAATTGCCAAAAAATTGAGGTATTCCGTCTCAGCTGAGTGTTAAGAAACAACCGTTTTGGCGACCTGGAATAAAGGTTTCAATCTGCCAAATGAGTTGCCGAGCCAGTGAAAGAGGTGGATTTTTCACTTAGGATGCTTTCTTCCTTTGTGACCCACAACCCCTAATTTGGGGAGGACAAGCTGCCAACGGTTCCTGGCCTCATGAAAAGTACTGGGGCACCGCCTCCACGGCCGCAGAGTTTTGGGGGCAAGCTTCCCCTACTGCCCCCTACCCCGGTTCCTGCGCCTATGTATGAATCTATGAAATTATGATGGTAGATTTCCGATTTCGATTCCTCCAGCTGGGGGGGGGGGGGGGGGGGCTCAAATACATTCGAGCCTTCCCCCCTCCCCAGCCGAAAAGTTGGGAGGGGCTCAGCCCCCGCTAGCCCCCCCCCCCCGGTTCCCGCGCCACTGGTTGTGTAATCACATTACACAACCAATCACATTACACTGCGGCCGCAGAGTGCCGCAGCTTTTAGTCCGGTGAGACTTTGGATACAACCGGACTACAGCAGCATCTGATTGTCATCCAGTTGTTCGGTTCTCGATATGTTCGATTGTTGCTTGTTCCGCGCTGACTGTGTCAGTAAAGAATGAAATAATGATCAAGAACATAGCAGTAAATGTAAATATTTTATTTGACATGGACCAAACATTGTAATTTTCAACATAATCATGATGCAGTATATGTAAAGTAGAAAGTATAAAGAAATCGGGAACCATATTATGTCGGGGAAGGGCACCAGATGACAAGAAGTGAAGAGGAATGGAAGAAGAGGGAGAAAGAGAGGGCAAGAGCTCTCGGTCGGAGGAGGGAGCCCTAACTGCGCTGAACGGGATAGGTCAGTGTCGTCTTTTCCAATGTCAGTCTGCACTTATTGGGCCTCTGTCAGTAATGCTAGGGAACATCTAATAGAAAAAGAAGAAGAGCTCTTGTCTCAGCAGGCTTCTTTCATCAAACGTTGCTGCTCAGGAGGTAAAAACCTGGCACATGAATCGCAAGTAACGATTTGAACAATTATAGGTAGCCCAAATGGTCGTATCGTAAGCGTTGATCGCAGCACAGTTTCCACTGTTATAGTCCGGGTCGTTATCAAACCAGAGATGGAAGTTGTACGGGGTACCGTCGGTCCAGGTCCAAGAAGAAGGAGAGCTGTTTTGTCTCGACAGGCCAAGCCAAGTGGTAAATTCACTAGCCACTTCCACCGCGACGAATATATTTTCTACGGCGTCATGGATAGAGACCATTGTCGCTTCAGGGTGAATCGATGCACATACATTGGATACATCCACCCAATGAAGTTTGTAGTTGGACAGCCAGTAGCATTTGTCCCGAAACTGCTTCCACTCTGAAGAGGGACAGGCTGCAATAGTGAAGGTGACAGCGGCCGCAACCAGCGTCAGACGCAGAGTCCACGTCAGCATTATGCTCCTGACGGCACTGACGTACTTCTCGGCTTAGTAGTGGGTAGGGAAGTCTGTTCTGTGAAAGGAAATGGGGTAGGTAGTCTGTGGGTAGGGAAACGTCGGCTATTAAAAGCACAAACGCGACGAACTTTAAAAATTTGAGCCCCCAAAACCTGAACTACTGATTTATTGCCGTGAAATTTGTACAGATTTGTAATTCCTATGATTCCCATACACTGTAAAGTCGTAGTGCAATAAAAATCGCCATTAGGTTTTCATGCCTCACAGATACCTACTTACCTGCAAGACAAAGCCTGCTTGTTGAAACAAAAATCATTGTTCCTGGTTTCGTATCGTTGAACCTTGCTGGATGCACCTGCACACCTTTTGCATGCAAAATGAGAAATGTTTTATGCTAGCTAAGCACTCATTACAAATTTTTCCAGGGAAGCAAAACGATGTTTGCGGGGCTCGAGCCTCAGTCGTCATGGCAGACCAATATCCGCTATAAGATTGACGGTAGCATGGCTATGTGAAAGTATAAGAACAACCGCTTTTGTAAATATTTTCCCTTTTTCTCAGGAGATCCGCTTTTCTCACCTGTCTAATAGAAGACCCTGTGCGATGCTGAAATGTCGGTTCAGTCTCGTCAGAGCTGACTGCACCTGCCCTGCATGGAGTATTTGTATGTGTTCCCGTTATCAGCTCTATTGCAGGCGTGTTCCCGCCCGGCCGGCTGGGAGGGGCAGGGGGAGGGGGACGGAACAGCTGCTAAATGCAGTGCAAGACTCGATGGCAACCAACAGGTGCCATCCGTTATCGTACCCATATGCGACTTAAAGGTCCTGTTACACTGCCGAATTTTGGCCACGAGCCTGTCGCCGAATCAAGTCGTGTAAAAATCGGTGATCAGTTTGCCAAGACACCCGTGCTTGTAGCATTCCCGGTATATACCCTGTGCCCTAAGCCTTGAGTATTTTGTGTCAACCCGTTGAAGAAATTGGTTCTAGCTAAAAAAGCATGGGCTCACCTTTTGAGAGCCACTCTCGTAAGCCCATGAATTCGATCAGAATCGATCGAACATTATGACGTTTTCTGACGTCATTTCTGGGCTGCGGCAGACTAATGGTAGATACGAGTTTTTCCTTTGGATAAAGGTGTCAAACTGATGAAGTCGAAGGAGCTGAAAGTTTCCTGTCGATACGTGCAACGGTCTTGAAGATATTGCAGAAAAACGGGGGGCTTTGTATAGTCCCCTAATCGTGCCCGGGTTGAAGCTGATCCATGATTCGTCGAGCATCACGAATGAATGCCGAATAGTCGGCGATACTTTGGCAACATGTTGGGCGTTGGCGCACGTAGTGACATGTCGGCGGCAACTTGGCGACTGTTTGGCATCGGCAAACGGCCACGAAATTTAAATTTTTCATGAAATAATCGTGGCGGTCGTGACGAACCGCAAATGTCGCACGGTGGACACCGACTGGTCTGCGAAATGCCAAGACCGAGTATGAAAGATCCCGAATCGGTCAACGGCATCTATATGTAACACGGCCTTAATATAGATGTCGTATAGGATGGATGTGCTATAGGAGAGTCATATAGAATGACTTGCTAATCCTTACACATTCGTGTTCTAAAATTAGGCAGTGTAACTATAGCAGTTCATATATCTCCAGATTTATGAGGAATGTTACATTTATGCTTTTAGATTCATGGTCATGCAGTATGCATTCAAATTGATAAGTTTTTTATTCAAAACTTTGCATAATTAATACTTGCATTCACAATAATTTCCTGTACGTAATGTCCTGAATGGTAAAAATGACGTACCCCAACCAAAACCAGACGGCGCGTGCTCTTTCCTCTAACCATCCCCACCACTTCCGGCACTGTCCTCTCCCTCACCACCTCCGCAACCATAGCTCCGTCGGCACCGACGTCTCCGACGCGTCGGCACCGACGTCTCCGACGCGTCGGCATCGTCGAGCATTTCCACCCCACCGACGCCGGCCTGATGTGACGCATAATACGCCCATCGGCCGGCCGGGTCCGGCGCGTTCTCAAGCACAACATTGGATTCATTAGGTGCCGCTGGGTCCCCGGGGAACGATAGCGCACATCGTCGATCTCGACGAGGTTAATCAGAGGAACGGCGTCGGTAGTTGATCGTCGAAAGGCTGGTCGATCGTTGGAAGGCGTAAAAACGGGAGTTGGTGCAATGACGCATTGGGGTCCGCGCTCGACAATAGTCGTTTCCACGGCGGGCCATTTGGCGAATACACCTAATTTGACCAAAGCTGCGCCAGATTTCTTCCACAACAAATATCTTAGGATTATCTTAGCATCACGAATTTATTTCAGTGTTTTAGTCGAAACTAATGTCTGATAGTTTGAAAAAATGAGGCACCTATATCAGTATCTGTGCAGCCCCAACTGATGACTTTTAAAAAGCACAATGAACCTAATTTAAGCAAATCTGCACCTATTCTGCACCAAATGTGTACCGGCTGGCCGTCGAGAAAACGGCTAATAACGTTGATGGGATGCGGGGGTGGTATTGGGTGAAATTATGGAAGGACGTTTGGTAGGGGACGCTGAGATTGGGTTTATGAGGTGTGAAAGTGGCTAACGGTGGGGTGATGGGAGTGAGAGGGTCGTTAATGTGCGGTCATGGGTAACTTTATAGCATGAAGATATGACAGAAGTGATGATATTTGAAGTAATGGGTCACTTGATGAGAAATATTCGTCAATAATAGATTAGATGAAATATGTGTTCCCTTTGGCAAGCCTAGCAATTATTCTCACTTTTCTAGTCATTTTTTATGATCATATTTTTCTTAATTCTATATTTATGATCTTAAAGATTCTGGCCAGGTGTTGCTGACTTGCCAAGTTGTCGATAAATCAAACTACTTGACTTGCCAAAATTGAAAGGTCCTTTGTAAGTTATTGCGATAAGCCTTTTGCCCTCCAAAAGAAAGGCGATGAAGCATTTTTGATGGGCTTTTAATCCGCTCGCGTTTCATGCCAGTGTCAATAGTTTTTTTTTTCAAAAGAAAAAAAACGCCACTTGACCATTTTATTACGTATATTTAAATGTGAGGCGAAAAAAAAAAAACAGCTATCGCTTCGAATTAATCAGTGAAAATTCATGCTCAATTAAGTGTTTCTTATTTATGTTAACCTTACGATTTCATTTTACTATCCTTCTTTGCAGGCGTTGGCATTTTGTAGTTTTAGCACTTTAAACAAATATTGGACGCTACCCTCCCGGAGGAGGCGTTCATTGGCGAATCCCAAGTCGATGACGTCACCTGCTCCGATGACGTCACTCCAGCCAAAGAGGCGGCTCCTCCCGCTGGAGCTTCCATTGGCACTCGATATTCGCTGCCGAGCGCACTCTGCCGCGAGCAGAGGGCCAACGGAGGCAGAGCTGCGAAGGAGGGCTACAACACCACCCGGTAGGTCCAGCAGCGTGAGAACAGTTTCATACGGAATGGAGGTGCTGTTGCTGAGGTTCCGCTGTTCAGATGTTGACCAGTGTGAACGCTTCACACATTACGTTGTCCTGATCTACGTACCGTCATTGTACTTCAGGTGTTTCTCTGCCGTAAAGTTTAAACTCTGATTTAACCACTTAGGTACTTCTGATATAGGCACCGTAACTAAACTGCTGTGACTGGTTCCAGATGAGAGGTCAAATATATGGCATGGATTAAATAAATTCGTTAGATCATTTAAATTTGATTCTTCTAGACCTTAGACGTTAAATTTAAGTTACGAAAGATCAGTTTCAAACCGCATCATGATAGCACAAAAGAAGGGAGACCACTTTCTTAAACTGAATTTGACGTTCTGAAAGTAACACAAACAACTTCTGTTTCTGTGAGTCCGTATTCATATAAACCGTTGGGTATCGCACCATAATATCAGGGTGGCTAGGTCATTAGGTCAAATAAGGTGCTTCACAACACAAAAATACACATTTTTTTTTGCTACATAAAAAACCTGAAAATTGTTTGAACGGCAGATCGACTCTGACAGCCGGCGAGGATGAGCGCCACAGGAAAGTCGATGCTTGGTCCCTGGCTGTACCAGAAGGACAGAGACTCGTGGGTGACCAGCAGCGGCAGATCCATGGTGAGAGTCGTCACATAATAGCCGTTTTCACGACGACCATCTGGTACACATTTGGTGCACATCTGGTGCAGATCAGGTGCACATTTGGTCAAATCTTGTTCCGTGTGTCTCCTTAGTAGCTATCAGCTAGGGTTGCACGCATTGCTTATATGCCTGCTTTGTCATATTATCAGACAGTATCATCGATTAAAACACTGAAATAAATTCACAAAATAAAGATATTTGCTGTAAAAGAGATTAGGTGCAGATTTGGTCAAATCAGGTGCACTCGCCGGATAGCCCGTCGTGAAAACGGCTATTAAAGGGACTATCCCACCTTTAACATGGGATTTGAGTTGAGATAGCCAAGTTTGCGGCGAGGTTCAGAAACCACTATCTATCTAGGTTGCAACCCCCGCGGCCTCTTGGTGTTGAAGAAATTCGTTCCCTTCATTTGAAAATGGGCCTTGTACAAGGCCCTATCTTCAACATGGAGCGACCGTTAGTGTGACGTCACCTCGGTTAGTCATTCTGATTTAAATGGGTTTGTTCGTTGAAAAATCGCTTAAAACTTGGTCTGAACTTTGTTGTGGTGCCTACAGAGTAAAAAGAATCAGCTTTATGACAGTAATGTGGCCTGGGGAAGGAGGTAATTTTGGGCTGTGACGTCACATATTTGAAAGTTTGTGTTTGGAATATGGGAAGCCTAAGATGTTTAATGAAAAATAAATGCCAGAACCGTGTTCCTGGTCATCCAATCTATAAATTCAGGCACAATTTAACTGGTTTTAACAACATTTTAGAAGGTGGGATAGTCCCTTTAACGACTAATTAAAAAAATAGTTGTGATCTTATGGCGTGATAATAAAGTGCACGGATGATGCATGTATGATACTGATATGTTTGAGGTTATGCGTACCGTGCACGATTTAAAAAGTTTGTTTTTGTAAATATTTGTCACAAACGCTATGAACTTTGTTCATGGTGACCCTTCCACCGCGTGTAACCATTCTCAACGGTAACTGGATAATTGTAAGCATTAACTTTGCCATGCAAACAACTTGGTAGTAAAGAAAGGTTCTATTCAATTAAAAATCAAAGCTGTTTCATTCTCGTTTTCATTCGACGTCGTTAGATCGATTTCTTACGTTAATCGGTGTTATGAAGCGTAAATCAGCTTTTAAAGAGGCTCTTCCTTCAACTAATACCGAACACAATATACAAACGTCGGCTGATGCATCCTCTATCAATATTGATAACTATTTTTTTTCTATTGATCACAGCGGTCTTTGGATGGAGGCAAGGGGATAACGAACTCTGTCATATTCCCACTGAAGAACGGAATGGAAAGTGGGCTGTCCCAGGCCCTTGCAGTAATGCAGGTAAGAATCAGATGAGAATATTTAATCGATGGTCATGTCACGATTCGTCACACCAAAAACACGAGCATAATATTCGACGGGAAGATCATACTTTTCACGACTATTTACAGTTGAAACCCAACAGCATTACCAACATTTTGCAACAATGTCATTTTGCTTCAAACGCAAAACGATAAAAATACTTGATAATTTCCGTAGCTTTAAATAACCAGCTTTCTCATATTCACTACTTAATCTACGAGTATCCTTTTTTCTTATTCTTGAAATGCTTCAGGTGACCTGACCGTTGACTGCAAATTGTTTTCGAGCAAAGTACAAACTCAGTCCAATACAAAAAGCAACATATTTCAGGAAGCCAAATTTGCTGCTCCAAAGAACGTTTGACACAAACGCAGTGGATCAATGAACAGAGCTGCGATGTTTGTTGGTTTGTTTGTTTATAGTTTATTCTATCGTTTATTCTTGATCATGGGTATGGGCAATGGACAGAAATAAAGTTGAACTGAATTGTTGCAGGAGAGGGGTGTCAACGTGGTGCACATTGAGAGCAGGAAGGCACGCTCTATGGACGCCGAGTACGAGATCTACATGGGTCTCGACTGTGACGGAATGGTAGGTTACACCGTGCGTGTGAACATTTTCACGTACGGTGTGAAAATATTCACGATTCTCAGTGAATATTTTACGGGTGGATTTTATTTACGGCAGCAAATAAGTAAAACCGTAAATAATACACGGGCGCCCAGCTGTAAATGTTGTGTCACCCAAACATTTAACCATGGTTTCAATAAATAAAACTCTTACTCCATGCAATTATTAATCATAGCTAAGCACAATACTTTTCTCACAAAACACCTCAAATTGAATCAATTAAAAATGTGGTACTTACATACCCATAATTGTGCGACGGTACTCTTCAATTCTTCAATCAATTTACATTTTTGGCAGCTGCAGCGCGCAAAGGGTGTCTTGATTTCTGATCTCATTTACAGGACATGCAGTCACTCGCAGAAGAACTGGCGAGAGTGCTGGAAACTCCTATCAAGTAAGATCAATAGTCACTGCACAGTGCACAATACACACTGTGATGCATTGGTACTTACACATTGAGATGCATGGGGATAAGTATTACCAGTAAAACGCCTTTTGGGCGAAGAACGAGCGAGCGAGATAGTGAGCCCTGCACGTGCGGAAGGGCGAGAGGGTGCTTCCAACGGGCTTGGGCAAAGCACCCTTCTAACTGGTCGCTAGCGGTGTGCCAAATTTGAACGCAATCGGCCCAGCCGTTCCTGAGATCTGGAAGCGGCATTCTGCACGTGCGCACGTGCAAACGGGGCCCAAAATGACTTTTGCACGGCACCCTACTAACTGGTCCCCAAGCGTGTACCAAATTTGAGCGCAATCGGCCCAGCCGTTCTCGAGATCTGGAAACGCCCCCTGCACGTGCGCACGTGCAGTAGCACCCTAACCGTAACACATGGGAATGCATTGCCTGGTGGGTGCCTACCTGTATGCCAAGTTTCAGCGAAATCGCCCCAGTAATTACCGAGTTACTGAAATGGGAACAAATTTGGCACCTCTTATTGTTGTATTTTGCACGTGCACTGGGGGTGACCCACATGCATCGAGAGTATCCTATTTTGGGTAGGAGGGATGCTGCTGCCCTACAAAAATTACCGCAAGTCAATCGCCCAAGCGGCTGCTGAGATATGAGCCTCTCAAAATCACTACTTTTGCAAAACAGCTTGAACACCCTTGACTTTTCACGTGGCACGTGCCACGACGGTCACTGAGATGTATCAAAATCGACATTAGGGCCCCCTAATGAAGTTTAGTGGCTCGACGAGGCGCGAATTGGAGACTCCGCGAGCCGCCTGGTCCGAGGCAGGGTCGGGAGAACACTCTGTGGGGAGGGGGCGAGGACGGGGAGGGAGGGGGAAACGGGACGGAGGGGACAGCCGTCAGTCTGCGGCAGAGGCCGGCGGGGAGCGGAGATGGACCGCGGACAGCGCGTCCCTGTGTGATAGAGCGTGTGCTTTACGTCCTGTGAGTCGGGCTCGTGAGTAGTGTGGGTACGGCGCCTAGTGAGCACCATCGAGGACGAATCAGTGGAGAAACGGGGCATGGACACCGCTTATCACTACGACCGCGACAATCACGGCATGGCAGGTGGGTCCGGTACGCCGGCACCAGCGTCCTCCACATGGGTCATGTGTGATATGGCTGGCTGTGTTGACGAGTTACCGGGTACCTGTTATGAGTCGTGTTGTGCGTGTGTTTGTTACACCGGCAGCGGAGGGTGCCGGGCCGTTCCAGGCTGAAACGTCGAGATTGGGCCGGTAAACGGGCGACGGCGGGCGAGGGGCGTGCAGGCCGACAGCGCCGACACAGGGCCAAGGCGGCCGACAGACCGGGTGCCGGGCCGTTTCAGGCCGACAGCGCCGACACAGGGCCATGGCGGCCGACAGACCGGGTGCCGGGCCGTTTCAGGCCGACAGCGCCGACACAGGGCCATGGCGGCCGACAGACCGGGTGCCGGGCCGTTTCAGGCCGACAGCGCCGACACAGGGCCAAGGCGGCCGACAGACCGGGTGCCGGGCCGTTTCAGGCCGACAGCGCCGACACAGGGCCATGGCGGCCGACAGACCGGGTGCCGGGCCGTTTCAGGCCGACAGCGCCGACACAGGGCCATGGCGGCCGACAGACCGGGTGCCGGACCGTTTCAGGCCGACAGCGCCGACACAGGGCCCATTGCGGCCGATCGACCGGGTGCCGGGCCGTTTCAGGCCGACAGCGCCGACACAGGGCCATGACGGCCGACAGACCGGGTGCCGGGCCGTTTTAGGCCGACAGCGCCGACACTGGGCCACAGTGGCCGACAGACCGGGTGCCGGGCCTGTTTCAGGCCGACGACGTCGAGATTGGGCCGGTAACGGCCGACGCCGGGCGCCGGGCCGTGCAGGCCGACAGCGCCGACACAGGGCCACCGCGGCCGACAGACCGGGTGCCGGGCCGTTTCAGGCCGACAGCGCCGACACAGGGCCAAGGCGGCCGACAGACCGGGTGCCGGGCCGTTTCAGGCCGACAGCGTCGACACAGGGCCACAGCGGCCGACAGACCGGGTGCCGGGCCGTTTCAGGCCGACAGCGCCGACACAGGGCCACAGCGGCCGACAGACCGGGTGCCGGGCCGTTTCAGGCCGACAGCGCCGACACTGGGCCGGCTAGCGGCCAACAGCACGGGTGCAAGGCCGTCAGACTGTCAGCGCCGACACGGGTGGTGGTCGACGGGTGCCGGGCCGCCCGCGCGCAGCGGGGCTCGGTGGCGGCGGCGCGGCGGCGCCCGTGCCGGGCCGGCTGCGGTCGAACCGGAGGAGCCGGGATACAGATGGTTTACGACCCTGGGTGGCCGAGGGTGCCGGGCCGCCCGCGCGGCGGGGCTCAGTGACGGCGGCGCAGCGGCGTCCGTGCCGGGCCCGTGCGCGGCGGCGTCCGTGCCGGGCCCTTGCGCGGCGGCGTCCGTGCCGGGCCGGCTGCGGTCGAACCGGCGGAGCCGGGCCACAGATGGTTTACGACCCTGGACCCCTCCCCCTCCCCTTTATGGCAGGCCCGCCCCAGACGGCGGGACACGAATCGAGTATCACTGGTCCGTTGGGAGCATCACGTGTCTGGGGGGAGTATCACTCTTCTGTCTGGTGGGAGTATCACTAATCTCCTGGGAGCGTATCCTGTTCGGAAGGTGTCACATGGCTGTTGGACCATAGCCGGCGTCAGCTGAGAGGTCAGATGTCGGGTGGGGGAGCGTCGGGCCGGCCGAGGCGGGCGGGACGGTCGAGGGGATGGCTGCATGGCGGCGTCCGGGGGGGGGGGGCGAAGCGGGACCACCGGCCATTTGAGCAGTACGTGCACGGCCGTGATGGCGAGTGGGTGGCCAGGGTTTCCCAACGGCGGCGCGCATCCGTGCGACAGTGACGTTCCATTAGTGACGGTGACGTACGAATTGCTACGAAACAGCCTGGCGCCGGGCTCCCGTCGAGCCTATGAGACGGGCCAACGCCGGTACATTGAGTTCTGCAGGCGGTACGGGCTGACAAGCGTTCCGGCGTCGGATGACACACTCACATATTTTGTGGGTCACCTGAAACGGGCGGGACTAGCCGTCGCTAGCGTGAGGCAGTATTTGGCAGCAGTGAGACACCTTCGTCTTCAGTGGGGTCGGCCGCTGCCAATGGGCATGCCCCCCTACACTACGGCCGCGCTTCGTGGCTACGAGCCTCGGGGCGGCGGTACGGAGCCCCGCCGGCAGGCGATCGACATATCGGTTCTTCGCCGCCTGAAAACCCGTTTGGCATCATTATTGCCATCGGCTTGGAACCAGCGGTGCGTCTGGGCTGCATGCACACTGGCGTTCTACGGCGGCCTGCGGAGCAGCGAATTCCTCGTCACCGGCCACGGACGGGGAATACGGCATGGTGATGTGTCTTTCACATCGGTCGGCCTTCGGGTACTGGTGGGAATTCAAAAAAACCGACAGCATGGACCGCCAACGGCCGTCGAGCTCCCAGTAACAGGCACGTCCACTTGTCCTGTGAAAGCTATGTACCTGTACCGACAGGCAGGGCGCGCGGCGGATGGAGCGCCGCTCTTTGTACTGGACTCGGGAGCAGTGCTCACGCGACGACGGCTGAATGATCTTCTCCGTCGCGCGCTTGGGCCAGGATTCTCTTCTCACTCCCTGCGGATTGGTCTGGCCACGGCTGCGGCGGCGGCGGGTGTGGCCGACCCTGTACTGCGCCGCTTGGGACGGTGGCGGAGTGCAGCGTGCGACGGATACGTCCGGGGACACAGGAGGGCAGTAATCGATGCCTTGGTCGCAGTGGCGGGGTCGGGCCATTAGCGCTCAGTCTGGTACTATCGGTACCTTTTTTGTCGTGCGTGTTTGTCCACATGTATACTAGTCGAGATTATGACCGTGTGTACGGTCTGTCAGGATTGCGGCCGCTCCGCGCTGCCAGCGGCGAACAAGATAGGATCGACGCCCAACTGCGAGCGGAGTTAGACTGTGCACTCGTGATGGGCCGCCAGGATGGCACCATGCATCCGGGGTCCGGCGACGAACGCGGCGGCGGTCACGAAGGTGTGCGATCGCATGCAGCAATCCACCATCAGAGCCAACAGCGCGATCACCTGCCCCCGGCCGCCGCTACGGTGACGGCGGCCGGCGCGGCGACGGCGACGGGCCCGGCTTTCCGCAGTGGGCCCCCGGCAGCGGGGGCGGGGCCGTGTGGGCCGGGTACAGGGCCGGCGGCTGGCGGCCGTGACCGAGAGCCGGTGGCACGACCCCGGCGGCCCGGCTGTTATAGTGCGGAGGACTCGTACACACGGGGACGATGGGCCGGGACCGATGACGTTCTGGGGTATGATGACGATCGCGAACGGGCTGGTTCGGCGGCGCCGGCGACACGTTTCGGCGACCTTCGACGGCACGGCGGCGGCCCTGAGCCCCGGAACGCGGACCCGGAGCAGCGCGGCCGCACCGGGCGGCGGCGGCGCCGCCGACACAGCAGCGATGGGGGACCGGTGCGCCGCCGACGGCGGGACGACCTGTCGTCCTCATCAGAGTCGGAGTCTGACGAAGAGGACGGCATCGACCGGAGGGTGGAGTATCGGGCCGCCCCGACGCGGTCACGGACGGGGGCGGCGCCGACGGCTCTGCGGCTGCCTGCGATCCAAGTCAGAGCCGAGCGGCGGCTACGGAACAGGCGCCTGTATGTGTCAGTGGAGGAGGCTTACGATGCCGCAGAGGGCCGGCCGAACACGGCCATGGAGTATGTCGACCGTGTGGCCGGCTTGCTCACACACACAGTGTTTCATTTCCCTGAGTGCGGGTTGCAGGTGGTCGGGTACCTGAGTTGGCTTGTCGGGCTGTGTGCGCGGCGCTCGCTCCGCGACGTACAGGGGGCCGATAGCCGGGCGCGTCAGGCCATGGCCATGCGGCCGAGAGACTTCATGACGCATGATGATCTGGACCGGTTCGCGGCGCCCG